GTTTTTGGTGATTCCTGGTTAGCTGCTAGCTTTTCCCTACTCGAAGATGTTGCCACCGCGAAATCTGGGGGTTTGTGTTCGTCCTGGCGAAAACCGTGTTTTGATCCGTTGAGGGAGACGAGAGATACAGTGCGAAGACGTACGATCTGTCCGAGAATCGGCGAAGAAGAAAGCTTCACAGACGACCCGTAGTGGTTGGGAACAGAATGGAACATATACCAGTCGATGCATGTCATGGTAGGGATGACTGCTACGAAGTTTTAGCCCCATGCTCCCCAGCGCTTTTTAGCGCCCGACGATAATTACCAAATTTCATCGATTTTCCATGTGGATCAAAGCATAGTCTCCTCAATCTTCTCCAGTCGAGCTGAGTCTGGACGCTACAATGTCGAGACGCGAAAAGAGAACATGCATGAACACACAGGAGCATCACATGCAGCTGCATTCTGCCTTGACAAAGCTGAGAACAACACCAGCACCACGCATTTGGAAGACATTTCGAAGAAGACGAAGAACTACATATCTGCGTTCAAAAAAGCCTCTGCAGTATGCATGCGTGCATGCGCGAAGCACGGGGTCCGCGGATCAACTTCGTTCAAAAATCATTGTGCCACACGGGTTGTATGATTTGTGTGCGATCATGGTCTTTCTTCTTGACAAACAAAAGTGAAGTTTTTCGATCTTCAAATCGCCATAGCGTCCTTGTCATGACTCCAAATCAGCTGAAACTTTGCAGGAGGAATGAAAATGCCATGCTGAATCGATTGGTACCATTTTCGAAGGGTTTCCTTGAAAAATAAAAATTAGCCTGCACTGGCTACCACTACTACGTAAAACCGGAACATTTCGGTGGAGATTATTTTCGGTAAACTTCCGAACTGTTGATTGTTGGGAAATACCGAAAATATTACGCTACCGAAAATTCCCGATTTTGCAGTACCTGAGTACCTGTCCTGGTCAAGACTTGTATACTGTAAAAGCCATATATATAACGAAGTGCTAAATCTAACGAGTTAACGAGGACAAATCTGTCGTTAAAATAGAAATTGTTATACAGAAATCGACACGTATTGTTGCTATTGACTGGTGAGTGTTGAGAATGAGTGAGAATCGTTACCTTTGGTGCACGTAAACCAGTCAATTTTAGGCAGTCATTATATATGCGCCTCGTTAGAATAATGGTTTTTACAGTACTCTTCATAGTTGTTGGGGTCAATGGTCATGGGGTCAAGGGTCATGGGGTCGAGGGTCATGGGGTTACGGGTTATGGGTCAACGGGTCATGGGGTCAAAGTGTAATGGGGTTTATTAATTGTTCCTGCTTCTTTTTTCCCTTTTTCTTTCATAACTCATGCAATGTATGTAGGGTTGTGTTTGACATATGGTAACAAAAATTAAAAAATAAATACTTGTTCAAGTCGGTCCAAACCACCTGAAGTGCAGCATGAGCAAGAAGGGAAAGCTGGTGGCTTGAACAGCAGTAGCAACACATGCAAACCCTTGCTAGGCAGACATACCATCTTTGTAAAACGAGAGAGCTTGGAAGCTCAGGGCGCTACGCTATGCTTTTTTGCCTTGATGACCTAGGCAAAAAAAAGCATAGGGATGTTATAATTTTTTTTTAAGAAATAACCTGGGATTCGAACCCGCACTATCGCCCTGCGCCATCAGGCATGCATCCCCCGATACACTTCGCATACATACTAATTCTTCCAAGATGCTTCACGTTATGATCTTGCATTTGAAAGCCCTATTTGAATATCGTGGCCAGCTGTTTGTGGCCAGCCGTCTTTGATGGTACGGTACGGGACAGGTACGGTCGAGGGTAATACGACACCGTCTACCACCTTGATGACCTAGGCAAAAAAAAGCATGGGGATGTTATACATTTTTCAATTCTCCTTTTTTTTAAGGCATAACCTGGGATTCGAACCCGCGCTATCGCCCTACATGCATTCCCCAATACACTTCGCATTGATACTCATTCTTCCAAGTTGCTTCACGTTATGATCTTGCATTTGAAAGCCCTATTTGAATATTGCGGCCAGCTGTTTGTGGCCAGCTGTCTTTGATGGTACGGTACGGGACAGATACGGGATAGCGCCAGGCGTGACACAAACAAACAAATACCAAATTAAAGCTGTGTGGACCCTGGCTAGCGCCAGACGCTACTGAAGTAACGTCTTCTGCATAGCTACGGGAATAAAATAGACTTCGGTTAACCTGTCAGTTCTAGTGAAGTGACTGCGAGGCATCTAGCGACTGTCACCACAAGTGACACTCAATCAATGCCGATATCTTTGTTCACTGGTGTAAACACTTCAAAGAAGTACGCATCCAACCATTGTGTTGAAGTTGTTTTCTTTCATAGAACAACACTTGTTATCACGGTAACCCCTTCTTCGGATGTGAATACAAGCGTCACAAAGTGTTCTGTTTCCAGAGGCACATCGCCCCTACTCCCCTTTGTCTTGTTGTCCAGTGTCATTTCAGTTGTCCTCTTCCCCTGATTATTAGTAGGGCTGTGTTTTCTAGTAAAAAAAGAAGAAAAAAAGAAAAAAGAAAAAAGAGGCAGTAGCACCACTGGCTGCTGCCATTGTATCAGTTTTACATCCGTGGGGGTAGTTGTTTACATCCGTGGGGGTAGTTGTGTCGGGTTTAAAACAAAAGTTGTTTTGCCTGTCGTATTGTTGAACTGCACAGCATGGTGGCAGCTGCATGTTGCAGTCCGTGATCCTGGCCGAATCCAAAGTCAAGAACGTAACGATCAAGTCGGCGGCACAGTACAGCAACGGCAAGCTGGAACAGACCTACAATCCAGTTTCCAGCGGCCAAGGCATTCTCATCCAGTCCAAGATCTCCGCCAAGACATTTGTCTTTATCAAGGTTTGTGTTGAATATGTTGATTGATGTTGATTGATGTTTAAAAAAAACTATGAATAAGTCTTTTATTCCTTCCCATTTTTCGGGACTGACAATATCCTGGTAGGATAACAGAGCTGTGCAATTTTGAACAAAATCGAGGGGGGCCGTTTTTTTCCGATTTGGGTATGAGCCACCTTAACCCTTTGCATGCTGAGCCCCTTTTCTCCAATCCACTGGCTTTCCAGCGCACTCACTCTCTTGGTGGAGTATGCACTCACAGCTCCGAACGAAATTTATTCTCATTTCACTCCACCTCGATGGATTTTCATCGTCCTGGGCTCGTTGGAAAGATCAGGACCAAGCGAATCCATCCTGGCAGCTCTCAGGTCCATAGACACATCAGGGCAACTTCCACGTCCTCTCCAAACTACTCCACCGTGTCTCGGAACGGCACAACAACTCAATTTCACATTCTTGTTCGGCTTCTTGCCCAAATTCAACCGATGTTCACAATTCGAACTGCGCTGCAAAGCTGAGATCCAAGCGCTTCATTTGATGTCCATGCGCCGTGCCAAAGGGAAATCCCCGGCACGCTCCTCAACAAAAAGAAGTCATGAACAAAAAAATTCGCCTTCACTCTGGGCCGTGATTTCCGTGTTCATCTTGTCGCCGCTCAATAAATTCTTATCCTATCGCGAAGAACTTTATATCCGCGGAAAGATGAGGTCAAGACCTTTCCAACGGTGTATAGATTGTCGCAATGCGTTTATGTTTGACGAAGTTATGAAAGTTTGTGCATTGGTCTATGCACTGCGATATATCGCGCGAAATTTTTGCGAGTTAACTCGTACGTAGTGGATCAGGTCATGCATAAAGCGCGAGTTAACTCGTACTCAGCACGCAAAGGATTAAGGATTGACCGAAGGCTGTGGAAGGCTATCGAGAGGCTCTCCTGTGGAAGGCTATCGAGGGGCTCTCCTGTGGAAGGCTATCCAGGGGCTCTCCTGTGGAAGGAAAGATGAGGAACAGAGGAAAGGCAAATGAGTGTTGCTGTCGCCATCGATGCTGGTCCTGTTGCCATGGGATTGTTGCCAATGTTATCGTTTCTACGGTACTTGTGTCTGGGTTAGAGGGGTATGTAGCACTCTGGTGTCGCCGTGTGCAGTGTAATGCCTGGGTGTGAGGCAACTTTCCGCTCATGGTGTGCTGCACATATAGCGAATTTCGTGATATACTGTAAGACATGTTATTATAACGAGTCGCAAATTTAACGATCGTCCAGAATTCGTACGTTAACGAGAAGATTTGTTAACGATCTTGCAGTATTCCGGCATATCCACACAACATGAAGCAGTATGGCCTCAACGGATCTTATTATAACGAAGAAATGGCATCCGTCAAAACGTTAGATTTACTTCCTCGTTATATATACATGTCTTACAGTAGCGAACCCTTGTCCGTATCCCTGTTTGAACCCATACAAATTGACCCTGTAGAGCGAACGGGTTTCGTTTATAGCGAACCAAATCTTGTAGGGCCGCATGTAAACCAAGCACACTCATGCTGTCATGGGCCACTTGCCAGTCATGACAGTGTCATGCTGCTTGTATGGTGTGAGTGCATTTCTGGTATAACGAACTTTGGCTATAAAGAACTAATTCTCCCCTGCACATTGGTGTTCGTTATATCAGGAGTCGACTGTAGGTTGCAATTTCGCTTTCATGTTATTGGGTTCTATGCCCGTTTGAATTTGCGAATCAAAATAAGAACTTAGCCACCAACTTCATGAATCAAAATAAATACAAACAAACAATTTTGGCGTTGTGATTGTGGCCAGGGTTAGTGCTGAGATAGAGTGGTGATTGACGCTGCTGGTCTTGCATTTCATGATGGTGTGGTGGTGCGTGTAGCCCGCCGCTTCAGGAGCTGCTGCATCTGCGCCTTAGATCTTTTCAGGGTGGTGACGTTCCGACGGATGCTGAAAACTCTCAGTCTAACAGGGTGCGCTCGATTACTGCCATGAATCGATTCATGAATGGAATCTCTCGTCGTTCGATTCCATGTCATGACTCACGAGCTCTGGAATCCGTTCGGAATCCATTCACCCTATTCACATGGGGCGGTGTGCATAGCCAGAGGTGATTCGTGGATGAATTCGACATCGATCCGCGGGCATAGTCGAACGCACCCACTGAATCTCAAGCGAATTGTGACTTAGTTTTCTTCTGTGTTCTTGGGAACATGTTTCAGATAGTGTATCAACCGCAAACGGCCAACACCAGGCAAATCGTAGTGTTCCAGTTTCAGGGTTTCCGGATTGGCCGTCCCATCGTCGTGGAGTACACGTCTCCGGAAAGTCAACTCTCACAGGACAGCGTGGCCAGCACAAGGACCCGGCTGAAAAGCCAGGAGCAGCGCGCCAAGGCAACTCTCATCAACAGCAGGTAGACTGTCTATGCGTATGCGTGTATGCGTGTACACATGCATGCACACACACACACATGCACGCACACACACAGACACACGCACACACACACACACACACACACACACACACACACACACACACACACACACACTTGTACTTGTACTTGTTGCTCACTGCCAAAACTGGTCACGTGGGTCTCCCCGGGAGAGGGGAGAGAGACTCAAAAGGAATCTTGGAAAAATGGCTCAATTGGCTATTGAACCGCCCAACGGCCGACACCCCCTGAAATCCCCAAAACTCTGGGTGGACTTGAAAATGATCCCACTTATGGGCTCACCACACCTCAGTAAGTGGGTGAGGACAAGGTGCAGAAAAAGGATTGACGGCATCAGGGTATCCGTCCTGGGATCCAACTGCAGTTACCCCTGCCCCCAGTGAAGGTAATACTTGCTACTAGTGTGGGTGGCTAAATCAGAGTGGATCTGATATAAGCGTCACTAGCACCATTGATTACACAAGAGTTAATCTAGCCAGAAGCAGTCCATGGCTAACAGGTACGTATACTTCAAATAGAAAGTATATGAACCCTGAAACCAACTAAGGTGGCAGATACAACAATACACCACACACACACACACACACACACACACACACACACACATATATGCGTGCATGCACGCACACGCACATATACACACACACACACACGCGCGCGCGCGTGCACGTGCACACACACACATATATGCACACATACGCACACATGCACACACACACACACACACACACACACACACACACGTGCATGCACACACGCATACACACACACACCTCAGACCTCAGACCTGCCCATCGCGGAAGCGATGATAGCGAACAGCTATGTTAGACACACACACACACACACACACACACACACACACACACACACACACACACACACACGCATACACACACACACACACACACAGTGAGTGAGTTCACCAGATCAAGAGTTGTGCCGGGTAACTGCCCAACCCACATATGTGGCAAAGCCATGCGACCCCGACCTCCAACACCCACCCACTCTATACCACACAGATTACATCTGAATATCAAGACGCATCTGTATTAGTGCCAAAACCCACGAAAATCGAGGTGCAGACTCGGCTCCGAAAGCGGTGGGATGCACTTTGATCCCAAGGATCAATGCGCAGACTCGGCTCCTAAAACGGTGGGATGCACTTTGATCCCAATTCATAGTCTGATTATCGACTAGCTCCCTTTTCAGGTGCCATGCAGAATGAACTTGCAGGGATTTTTACAGGGGATGTTGGTTGCATAATGATTGGTTGTGCAGTATTGAACCCTCCCTTTAGACGTCGGGTGGGGAGGGGGGGGGGGGGGGGGAGGGGTGGGGAGGGGAGCTAGTAGGATATGCTATGACCCTGGATAAGGAGACCACCTGGTAACAGAGACCACACTTTGAAAGTCGCTTGAGCGGTCGTCTTAGACAGGTTTCATTGTACACGCAAAAGGCACAAAGCAAGTGGCAACCGATGATTGTATTGTGCAAGACACTCTGAGTTGCTACGAACTCCGTTGTGCCTGTTGTGTACTCGGCAGTGCTCCACGTTATTGTGTCGAGCCCTCTCCGCTGGCTAAATGAAAACATCCCTGCTTGTACTCTCTTTGTATGTGCTGCTGGCAGGAGTTTGTTTTGGGAGGAGCAGTTTGAGTTGGTGGCGTACGCCACGAGCACACTGGATTGCCACTCGGATCTGCCATCCTATCCTATACCCTGTGAAATACATGATCAGTTGAAGAAGGGTGAATTTGACAACCAGGAGAACGAACTCACGGAGCGTAATTACCGTGGCTGCCTACACATACTGCTGTTCATTGAGGAAGTCGAGCGAAGAGCACGCTTTCAGAGGTACATGTACTGCTGCTGTATGGTGTTTTTAGGACGCGACGTGTGTGTGTGTGTGTGTGTGCGTGTTTATTTCGGTGTGTGTGTGTGTGTGTGTGTGCATGTGTGTGTGTGTTTGTTTCGGTGTGTGTGTGTGTGTGTGTGTGTGTGTGTGTGCGTGTGTGTGCGTGTGTGTATGCGTGTGAATCAATAAATATCACTGATTTGGGCTCTAAATTTCGAAATATTTTCAAAGGAGCCACCCCAACCGCACAAGTAAAATTATTGTACTTCAGGTGACTGATCGTACCACTCTAAAATACCTTCCGACGCCCCCGCGTGTTGTTTTGCCAATTATTCTTACGGATGCCCTGCTAGAATGCCGTTGATCGCTTGATCGGTTTCCATCAGGGTGGACTGTGTGAAGTGGTTGTTGGTTTATGATGCGCTATGGTGTGTGTGTGGTGCGTCCGTGTGTGTGCACGTTGTGTGTTTGTTTTTGGCTGTGTTGTGTAGATTTGACTTGTACGGTGTGGAGATGGAGTTCGGTGAGAGTATGCAGATCGACAAAGGTCGCATGGTTTCTGTGGGTGTTGAAGATGCTCGTCTCTGCATGGTCACCCTCAATGTGGATATCGATGATCATGAGCTTTCACTCAGGTTAGAACGCAGCTGGAGAAGCGTACTAACGTCTTTTTCACGGGCCAGAGAATTTGTCACGCACGCACGCACACACATACTTGGGAGTACACACATTGGAGTAGCATGATTTGAGCAGCAGCATGCAGCGATATGCTACTGTTGTTGTTATCACTCTCTTAGTATTGACTCCCATTGATTATCGCTATACCCAAGCAGTCAAATATTTCTGCATACTTCACTCCTTAGGGCTATATTGACTGCTTATATTTGACTGCTTATGGGTTGCAGGGCAGTTGAATGGTGCCTACAATGCATGGTGACTGTACTTTGCCGGGTTGTGCAACACATTGCGAGCAGCATGCAGTAGCCCATACTGTATAAGCAGAAATATTCGTCTGGAATTTAATTTCGTCTTTTTCGTCCAAGGAGCTTTTGGACTAAATTAAATGTAGGACTACCGTATTTCCCCGTAAGTTAGTACGTACTAACTTTCGAACTTAGCAGCCACATGAGTACTAACTTTCGAGGTTGGTACTATCTTTCAGGGAGTACTTTTTTATCGGGGTAAATGACACGCAGTGGGAAGTCTGCGCAACTCTAGTGTCCGTGCATATGCTGTATGTACTGTTCGGTGTCTGTACATGTAGGGCGGGTACAAACTTACTATCTTTCGGGGGGGGGGGGGGGGGGGGGGGGAGGGAGAACTGTCTTTCGGGGTGATAACCTCGGCAGTGGAAAGTGTATTTTTTATAGGGGGTACTACTAAGTCATTGGGGAGAACTAACTTACGGGGAAATACGGTAATGTCGATTTGTCCCACTTTTCTATACACTCTTATGATCCATGGACGAAATTTTCAACCGGACGAACTCCTTTTCTTTGGAGTTGGACGAAATTATTGACCGACGAAATTTTCTGCCTCTGCAGTACATGACTGTACATGGTCACTGTACGAGTAGGTGATGGTGCAACGGTTGTGCAACCATAAAACCGGGATTCATGAGGTTGTCGTTCTGGAATTTGAAATACGGACTGTTTGTCGTGATAAATCTAATATTGACTTCGTACTTGGTCGGTATAAAACCTCGTAAAAGACCGAGGCGAAGCCGAGGTCTTTTATTCGGCTTTTATTTCCTATATTGACCTCGTACTCAGTCAATATTAGAGAGGTTAAGTTTCACGTAAAATTCTTACGTCCGTGAACTTTTACGTCAAAAATTCAAAAAACTCACGCTGGTGTTGTCAACTTCTGGTGTTGCCTCCCCTGAATGTGAAAGGCTCTTTGAGCGCCTCTGTGGCTTGCTTGCCAGGGCTGATTCCAGCATGCCCTATGCACACCATGTTGCATATGTGCGCTGCAGGCTATCTTTCGCGCTGCTCCGGTCCGCTGTCATGTGTATGCGTGGGTCTCGGTCGGCATACCATCGTCCAGCTAATGAGCTCAGGGAGCTGGCGGTGGTTGAAAGCCGGATCTAAACCAGTTGTGGTTTAGTGTAAAGGCCAATTCACAATACAACTTCTTGCGACGCGACATGCGACTTGCGACAGCGACACACGGTCCACAATATTCTTCATGTTTGCGACATCCTCATGCACAAGTAGTACTATGCACGTGCACTGCACGTGCACCCATGGTCGAAACTGTACTCCATTTGTGTATGTCACGTGTCGCATGTCGCAAAAGTTGAACTTTCTTCAACTTCTGCGACAGGTGCCTTGCGACAGCTCGCGACAGGCAGTTTCTTGTCGCAACTGTCGCAAATCGCGTGTCGCGTCGCAGAAAGTTGTATTGTGAATCGCCCTTAAAACTCTCGCCACTCAGGAGACATATTTTCCACACCTGTGTACTATTATTAATGTTATCTTCCTATCATAAAAAAACTCACGTAAAATTTGACGTGTTTTACGTGAGTTGACTGTCCCGCACGTAAGTTCGTGACGTGGGTTTTTGAAAGTTTCGCTTGGTCATCCCGATCGAATTTGTGTGAGTTTCCGTAATTTTATCGAGTTTGTTGGAAGATTTGATATTCTAAAAAAGACTAAAATATACACTAACGTGAGATTTTCACCGCGCTTTGAAAAAGGCAAAAAACGTGTAACTTAACCTCTCTGTTAGATACTTTTTACAATGCTACCCTCATACGTACAGACACACACGCACACACGCATGTACATACATACGCAGACACACGCTCGTACACCCACGGCCATGGAGGCACAGCTATGTTTGATGGCTGGTAACCGCTTTACTTGGTGAGTTGAAGTCTGCGTGCGTCATAGTGCAAAACAACGGAAGTGACGAAAAGAAGGTTCTCTGGCCATTACTCGCGCGCGCGTGTGTGTGTGTGTGTGTGTGCGTGTGTGTGTGTGCGTGTGCGTGTGCACGAGTGAATGTGTGTGTGTGTGTGTGTGTGTGTGTGTGTTTTCGTGTATGTATGTGTGTGTACGCGCATGCATGTGTGTGTGTGTGTGTGTGTGTGTGTGTGTGTGTGTGTGTATGTATGTGTATAGTACGTGGTGTACAGCTCTCATCCGTCCTATCACTGATGACCAGCAATCATCGCCAGTCGTCTATGAAGCAGCCCTGGAAGCTCTGGGCAGTAATGCTGTCATCATGAAGTTGCCACTCAGCTCTGTGGAAAAATGGTAAGAACGTCAGAAGTGCGCGTATTGGCCTGGCATGCTGTGAATCTTCCCCTCGGTCTCTAGTCATGTTGAGCACTGCGCGAATTCTTAGCGTAGCAGCTACAGACTGTACACCAACCCCGGCACCCGGCGACATCAGTACAACTTTTTAATGCTTTTGAAAGTTTTGACTCACTTGAGCTGAGCTGCTCCCTAATTTACAAAGTGCGGTTGGCCAAACATTGGGGTATGTTGGTTATTAAAATAGAAGAAATCACATGGAAACGAGTTATGAAGCAACTATCCACGACTGTAACAAGATGATAAGCAGTCAAAAAGTGCGATAACAGGGCACAAAACTGACAGGTTTACTGAGACATTCAACGACCTGGCACCTAGCTCTAACACACCTCCAGTGCGCAAACCAGCAGCCTTCCAACTTGGAAGGTTCAAGGTTATGGTAGGACCAATGAGGGGAAGGTTACAGCCGCGGATAGTTGCTTCATAACTCGTTTCCCTGTGATTTCTTCTATTTTAATTGTATTTATTGGATTAGTATCATGTAGCAAGGCATCAGAATAGCTAATTCCACTATTTCTTGGATGGAATGGTGCCTGGATCACGACCCCGTGGTCGCCCCCGCCACAATTGGTTCACCAACATCAAAGGCTGGACCAACGAATCTTACAATTCTCTCTCTCTCTCGTTGCTGCTGATCGTGATAGGTATAGGCAGCTTGTTTATCAGTATAGTTAGGTTTCTTCTTCTTCTCTTTCTGTTTTTTTTGATGCTGCTGCCTTATGACACACATGGCGCCCCTACCACCAGAATGGTTTTGGGTTATACATACCGTATTATCTCTAATATAAGCACAGTCTCCAATAATAGCACGTCTCCAATAATAGAACACCTTGGGGCGGCATTCAAAAAATAAAGTGCTCAGTCTCCATTATAAGCACACTGTGTAAATTCATTATCTGTACCGGCGAAAAAAAACCTGAAATGTGTGCGTCATACATGAATTTGGCATGGCAACATGCCTCTGAAATGAGGTTGAAATAATAATGGAACAGTCTCCAATAAAGGAACGTCTCCATTAATAGCACGGGGCGGAGGTACATTGAAAAAATAAAGGACCGTGCTTATATTAGAGATAATACGGTACATACATACATACTACCTCCGACAAGCGAAACTTGGCGCGTTTTTTTTTACTTCAAATTACTCGAAATAAATCACACTTTACAATCAAACCTGATTGACTCACCACAATTCAACTTTGTATTGCTCAACAAGGACATTAGAGACATCTGTTAGGCTGAACAACTCTCCTCTGATTCAGAGATCGCACTTTCTTCTGGAGAGGAATTGTCCCTGTTTGGAGACGAAAGTGCGACTAGAGCGGATTCAGTTGCAGCAAGTACCTCTGTTGTAATCGCTCTGAAAATCTCGATGTCGCTCCTGTGTGCTGTGCTCCAGCCACGGTGTCGAGGGTAGTCGTTTCCGCCGCCACTATCCAGATTGACGTGGTAAGGACTGTGCAACACCTCCACAAGCGCCTGGACTCCAACTGTTTTGCAGGGTATTCTCGCCAACTGTGCAAAATTGCCTGCAGCAATTCCTGGCGATTTTCCTTAGCCACCAGAGACGCATCGCTCTAGTGGCTGTTGAAAGACGCTAGTACTGTTTGGCATGGACGCATGGACTCTGTGCTGGCGGAGTGACCAAGAGGAGAGAGAGAGAACTCCTTGGTTTTGCATTGCAACGCGAAAGCATGACAATTCTCCTTCGCAGAAGGGACGTGCGCACAGTTTTGCTGGTACACGAGAGACACGCTTGCCTCTGACTGATAAGTCTTAGCCATGTGCCACTCACCAGCTCGTCGCTTGGCTTCCTGCACCCGGTTGCATGGAGCTACAACCACTAAGTAGGTCATACCTCACAGCCTTGTGAAGTAGTTTTGGTATCAACACAAAAAATCAAAAAAAAAACGCACCAAGTTTCGCTTGTCGGAGGTAGTACATACATACATTGGAGTTAATTTGAAAGTATGTTGGTTGTTGGCATTAGCTTTCCTTCGATCTGAATACCGTATTTCCCCAGAGTATAAGTGACACTCGATTGAAAGCCGCACCGCCATTTCCGATACCAGCGGAACGAAATGGAACACAGGGAGGCCGGAGGAACGGACCAGCTGTATGGCCACGAGCACATTCTTTGGCCAAGTACTCACTCACAATATCAGGATTGTCATAGGAGGAAACAAGGTTAGAGCAAACGAGGGAAGAGCGGGGACCAGTATAACCAATACGGAAGCCATGTCGCGGCTGGCCATTGAGGAGTGTTGCCACGAAATCCCTGTCAGGATGGGACTGGAGCTCATCTGCCAGGGAGGCGGACATGAACAGGAGTAAACGGGCGATGCTCAGACAAGGGAGAATCCGAAGGCACGCTACGTGGACTTGCTGGCAACGCCGGAGGCAATACATTGTCTGCGTGGATGGTCCCCGCGCCACAGGAGGAGCACACATGACGAAATCGGCAGGAGCGAAAAAAGCACCGACCGCGATTGAACGCATCACAAACACACAAAAAGCAGCAATGCAAAAAATGCAAATTACAGACCATACTCGGCACAGAATAATAATTAAAGGGGAACTACACCCAAAAATCAAAACTTCATGGTCCGTAGAGTTTTGGACGCTGAGTCGAATGGTGAAGGTCCCACTTCGATCCGACCAAGCGTTCCTGAGATATCTTCGGTTTAAATTGTACTTTCGGGGGACGCGCCATGACGTCATGCGGCCGCGACACACCCCAACACACCCTTCTACGTCATTGAGACTTGCTTGCCTGGGCCAAGCTCAGAAGTACAGGTATTTTCGTATGTGAAAGGAATAGTTCTGACAAAGACGTCCTCACCATGAGCGATTCCGACGTATCAGACGAGCTTGAAAGCTCAGAGCCTGAGCTGAAAATGTTTGGCTTCGGGCATGAGCCGAAATTTTCAGGAAAGGATATGGCAGCGCAAGCGGTGGCTTCCAATCGGGCTGTAAATGTGGATGAAGCAGAAATTACTGCAATTGGAGAAGTCGCTCTCCATCAGCAACATCTGGCAACCGGTTGGCTGGGCTATTTCGAAATGAAGCGGCAGCCAAAGCAGCTCAGACAACCCTGACAATCCGTAAGTGTTTTCACAGTATAGTCCTACGTAATGCTCACAAATCGAATCGTTCTCTTCATATCGTAAATTGTGTGAAATTTTGTATTCGCACAGTACTCAGATCAATAGTCTCCTCACTCGTACTCCTGTACATGGAGTTTGCTGCGTAACATGGCTAGCATTATCTCCGTGCAAGTCGTGCAATGTGTATCGGTTCACTTGTGCTTTATCTCACATAAGTGGACTGCACTCAATTCGTATTGTGGCGAAATACATTCTCACCTTTTGCATTATCACTTAGTCTTTACAGAATGCTGAGACGTTCTCTTGTATTTCACGTAGCTGTGTACCAACAATTACGCTGTGCACTCTAGCAGCAGCAGCAGCACAGTAGCATATTGAGTGCGTTTTGCCCTACTGTGGTGTCTCATGACTGCATTACCGGAACAGCTCTGTCCTTGATAATCATTCTAAAATGTGTGCACATATCCGCCTGCGCCCCACACACACGCACGCACATGTGCTCACCTTGGTGGGCACATAGTATAGTAGTCACACATGCTCACGCACGCAGACACGCAATTTCACAAGCGCGTGCGCACACGAGTGCATAAGCATACAAGTGCCTGTGCACATGCTCGTGCACGCACACATGCGCGCACTCATGCACTTGGTTGCATACCCACACATCCCGCAGGATCACTAACGGCAATGCATCTACTACTTGTCATTCCATGTCCCTCCCGCAAATGGGGAGAGAATGACATAAAGGAGAACACAGAATAGATGACGTGAATATATTTGGAATGTTATATTACATTACACAAAAGCACACGCATGTGCGCGCACACACACACACTCACGCAAGTGCGCGCGCACACACACTCAGTGTCACGCGCGTGCGCGCGCACACACACGCGCGTGCACCCACACACACAATAATAATGTCTGTCTCTCACGCGCGTGCGCGCAAACACACTCACGTGCGCGCACGGGCGCGCGCACGCACACACTCACGCTCGTGCGCACACACTCACGCGCGTGCGCACACACACACTCACGCGCTTGCACGCATACACACAATAATAATAATGTCTGGCTCTCATCTGCATCCATACTGAGAAAACCCAACGAGTTCCCGAATAGGTGTACACCGTTGCCGGTATGTGGACTATCTTCTCTCCTTGAACTGCGGGTCATTGCGTGATGTAGCTTATCAGCAGTACATACTGTGTGTTCATACAGGAAAAAAACATGCCAGCTAGAGGCGCTGGCGCTGCAAACAGTCCTTCCTATAACCTTGGGGCGGTGGCAGTGGTCGTAGCTCAACAGTGAGTCACTGCGACCGATGGTACAGCCGCTCTTGATCTTCTTCCTGTAAAATCAAGAACAGCAATCGCAGACAGATTCATCGATCGCACGCAGCATAGCCTAGGGAAACAGGAGATCTACTGCCGTCCACCTCATCAGGCCGGTTTCGGAAAGCTTCACATTTCGTAGTGATGTAGTCCAAAACAATTCTACAAATGCTTTGGGAAAGAAAGAACTACATACAGTAGCTTGTGTTTTTGAAATATTGCACTCACCTCCGCTTTTCGACTGACACTTCACAGTGTGGCGTGCGAAAAAGGACGCACCACAGTTTCATCCACCAGCGTCCGCATCGGATGAGTGCCATAATATTCCTCCTGAAAATCCTCCTCTGCCAAATGGCTGGAACACACGCGAAGGATTTACATTGTAGTCCCTAAATTGTCAAGCAAATAATTATGTCGCTTGATAGCTGCTATGGTGCACTGCTCGGCCTGTGCCAAGCACAATCCTTCAGAAATTGGTGCAGGTTCATCCCAGGGGGGTTACCAGTAAGATTATAGTAGCCAACAACACAGCCAGAAGCCATGATGACACAAATACCCTCTTCTTCCATGGACAAACAGAAAGAAGATGCGAAATCCCAGTGTTTCTGGATCTGGCCAAAGGATCACCAAGTCTCAATGACGTCACGGGTTTGTGACGTCACGGCACGGACCCGAAAAGGACAATTGCAAACTGATATATCTCAAGAACGCTTGGTCGGATCGAAGTGGGACCTTCACCATTCGACTCAGCGTCCAAAACTCTACGGACCATGAAGTTTTGATTTTTGGGTGTAGTTCCCCTTTAATGATATGCATCATGAGACCATCACTGCGCATGTGGCCGCGTGGGCTAACTTGGCTTTGATAATCAAAGCCGGCATCTTGCATAGCCCACAATCATAATGTGGCCACAACCAGCTAAAACATGTCTTAGGGTGAAATTTTCAAATTTTGTTTTCCTCCAGAAAACAGTTCTTCGGACCTTACTTGACCTCTTGAAGGTGATACAGGGCAGAAAAGTAGTCTACAAGTGCCACAAACACCGCTTTCAAAAATAATATTATGTACTTTGAAATAGAAAATGACAGTTTTCGCACAGTCTGACACAAAGAGACAAACTACTACTTAGTGGCTTTTGTGGCGGAGCACAATACAACGGAACTAAAGATGTTGACACTGACTTGAGCATGTCAACGGCATCAGTTCAAAGGCATGGCCCAAGTTCTTCCTGGAAAGCAACACGATGCGCTGGACGGCGTTGCACTTGCATACTCTTTCGATTCTGGCAGTGACACTTTCGATCGTCGCCTGCGTTTCCGAGACTGCGTCAGACGCCTCATGAGAGCTGAACGCAAGTAACGTCGTAAGGCAGCCGGTTCGCCGCCTAAATGATTATGTACTAGCCCACAACTTGTGCCTCTTCGCTACTGGAGACGACGGGGACGATTCAGCTTCGCTGTCGACATCAACATCAATGAGATCCCAACAAATTGTCAGCGTCGCTCTGCAGACCCGCCGCCACGGACTTGCAGACACCTGAACAAACCTGGGCCATGCACAGCGATCGTCTGGCCCTGCGAGCTGCTCTAGTATCACTAGATGCGGACATTGTCAGTCTTTGCTCGCCAGCTACTTGAAGTAGAACGCCAAACAAGTGTTTGAACAAAATTTGAGAAGATGATCGCCACATCATGAATCATTTTGAATGAAGTGCAGAGTGAACGCGCTCCAAAAAAACATTTTTTTCATTTCGTCATTTCCCAACTTTTTTACGAAACCCCAAAGACATGTTTTAGCTGATCGCGGCCCATGTAATGTTTTGGACATAGTCTTGCATTCTGCGCCATTACTTTGCCTTAAAAAGACCTCACCTCAACAATTGTTTCAAGAAAATTCTCGACCGAAAGCAATTTTTCAGAGCGATTTCTTGGGTCTTACCGGTAGGACGGCATCCCCTTCTTTGCGTTTTTTTAGCGATTTCTTGGGTCCTACCGGTAGGACGGCCTCCCCTTCTTTGCATTTTTTTAAGTCGAGTATAAAAGGTGGGTCTATAAAAATATAATATTGGGAAATACGGTGCTTGCGTCATGGAGACGAAACGCGCCTAAAAGTGTTTATTTCTCGAGGGCCCCCGAATTGCTTGAAAGACCATAGTAGGAATTGGCATGCCGCAGCTAGTGTTAAGCAGACACACGCATACACACACACTCGTACACCCACGGCCATGGAGGCACAGCTATGTTTGATGGCTGGTAACCGCTTTACATGGTGAGTTGAAGTCTGAGTGCGTCATAGTGCAAACCAACGGAAGTGACGAAAAGAATGTTCTCTGGCCATTACGTGTGTGTGTGTGTGTGTGTGTGTGCGTGTGCGTGTGTGTGTTTGTGTGTGTGTGGATGTGGATGTGTGTGTGTGTGTGCATGTGTATGTGTGTGTGCACGTGTGTGTGTATGTGTGCGTGCGTGCGTGCACGTCTGTGCGTGCGTACGTGTGTGTTTTCATGGACGTGCACGGCTACAGCTCCAATGTGAAAGTGGACATTCGCTTCAGCATGTATCGCGATGATTTCCGCCGCTATCACCATGCTATCGATCAGCTATCTCTCGACGTTGTCTTCCCACGGCTTGATCGTGCTCCGGAAGAAATGCTGACCGCTGCTCCGAAGATCCTCAATGAGAGAGGTCTTGAGAACGAAATCAAGCATAATGTGCTGAACGAGAGTCAACAGGCTGTTCTCGATAGCATGCTCAAACTGGAGAACAGACATGTATGTATGTATCTATGTGTGTGTGTGTGTGTGTGTGTGTGTGTGTGTGTGTGTGTGTGTGTGTGTGTGTGTGTGTGTGTGTGTGTGTGTGTGTGTGTGTGTGTGTGTGTGTGTGTGTGTGTGTGTGTGTGTGTGTGTGTGTGTGTGTGTGTGTGTCAGTGATTCTTCAGCCTTGCAAGCTGCTGAATGGTGCAATCCCAGCACAAGTTGCTATGGCTTCTGCTGTAGCATCGCTATCATCGCCTCCGGCGATGGGCGTCCAATGGTCCAATGGTGTGTCAGTGTGTGTGTGTGTGTGTGTTCACGCGCGTACGTACACACATGTGTGTGTACGTATGTGCATTCATGGCTGTGTGTTCTGTATGAAGTTCACACAGTTCTATTAACGTGTAGTGACTCTTATCATACAGTCTTATGTGCCAGAATCAATGCAACAGAAAGAACTCGGCAAGCGTGCATTCATGTCTATGTGCTCTTGTATGAAGCTCACACAAACTCAGCAAGTGTCAATGTGTTGCTCTTGTGCCTGTTGCTGATAGATTCCCACCATTCTGTCTGGACCGTTCGGCACGGGAAAAACCCGTTCGCTCGTCGAAGCAGTGCTCCTTCTTCTGCAGTATTTGCCGGCAGCTAAAGTACTCGTCTGCACACACGTCAACGTCACAGCCGATAACTATGTCAAAGATCTGCATGCCAAGTGGACGGGTAAGGTCACATCGGCGAATGGGAGCTACTAGTGTAGGATTCCCTTTCCTAAGACAAGATTCCCATTCTCAGGTTTCACCAGGCACTCAAATTGCTCATATCGATAGTAACACTTTTTTGGCCTATACTACATTAGTATGCATAATTTGCCCATCGTTTGGTCTTGCGTGGCAAGTCCACTTCAGCCGTACACACTGTGATACCAGCCCTGCATGAAAGGTCATGAACTATGTGCAGTCATACTCACACATATACTTCTAGGGCTGAATGCACCTGCCAAGTATGGGAGCCGCAAAAAGGCTGCAGCCATGTTTTATGCGTAGGTGCCATGGCTACAGTACTGTCGATCACCGAAGAACTGGGGGGGGGTCAGCCTCCTAGCCTAGACCGTTCTTATTTTCATGTATTACAGTCTATGCACAGTTGAGTCACCGTGTATACATTGGTATGCTGTGCTTGGTGAAATTCTAGCCTGGTCGTTCCTCGGCGATCCGTTCTTCGGCGCCCGACACTGCTGTAATCCTGCGTGTGCAGTAAAACCTGGCAAGGCGACCACTCTGATAAGGTGACCACCTGTCGCAGAAAACCACTGCAACTAGGACCTAGGGATGTCCTTGCCGGTCAAGTAACTCTTGACAAGAAGGCCACCTGGATACGGCAACCACATTTGCAAGGTCCCTTGAGCAGTCGCCTGAGATAGGTTTCACTGGACAGGGAAACCTGTGTAAGATGACCGCTCAAGGGACCTTGCAAATGTGGTCTCTGTTACCAGGTGGTCTCCTTATCCAGGGTCATTTGACTGCACGTGGCATTCCTTGGTCCTGGTAGCAGTGGTCTTCTGGGACAGGTGGTCGCCTTATCAGAGTGGTTGCCTTATCAGAGTGGTTGCCTTATCAGAGTGGTTGCCTTATCAGAGTGGTTGCCTTATCAGAGTGGTTGCCTTATCAGAGTGGTTGCCTTATCAGAGTGGTTGCCTTATCAGAGTGGTTGCCTTATCAGAGTGGTTGCCTTATCAGAGTGGTTGCCTTTTATCAGAGTGGTTGCCTTTTATCAGAGTGGTTGCCTTATCAGAGTGGTTGCCTTATCAGAGTGGTTGCCTTATCAGAGTGGTTGCCTTATCAGAGTGGTTGCCTTATCAGAGTGGTTGCCTTATCAGAGTGGTTGCCTTATCAGAGTGGTTGCCTTATCAGAGTGGTTGCCTTATCAGAGTGGTTGCCTTATCAGAGTGGTTGCCTTATCAGAGTGGTTGCCTTATCAGAGTGGTTGCCTTATCAGAGTGGTTGCCTTATCAGAGTGGTTGCCTTATCAGAGTGGTTGCCTTGTCAGAGTGGTTGCCTTGTCAGAGTGGTTGCCTTGTCAGAGTGGTTGCCTTGTCAGAGTGGTTGCCTTGTCAGAGTGGTTGCCTTGTCAGAGTGGTTGCCTTGTCAGAGTGGTTGCCTTGTCAGAGTGGTTGCCTTGTCAGAGTGGTTGCCTTGTCAGAGTGGTTGCCTTGTCAGAGTGGTTGCCTTGTCAGAGTGGTTGCCTTGTCAGAGTGGTTGCCTTGTCAGAGTGGTTGCCTTGTCAGAGTGGTTGCCTTGTCAGAGTGGTTGCCTTGTCAGAGTGGTTGCCTTGTCAGAGTGGTTGCCTTGTCAGAGTGGTTGCCTTGTCAGAGTGGTTGCCTTGTCAGAGTGGTTGCCTTGTCAGAGTGGTTGCCTTGTCAGAGTGGTTGCCTTGTCAGAGTGGTTGCCTTGTCAGAGTGGTTGCCTTGTCAGAGTGGTTGCCTTGTCAGAGTGGTTGCCTTGTCAGAGTGGTTGCCTTGTCAGAGTGGTTGCCTTGTCAGAGTGGTTGCCTTGTCAGAGTGGTTGCCTTGTCAGAGTGGTTGCCTTGTCAGAGTGGTTGCCTTGTCAGAGTGGTTGCCTTGTCAGAGTGGTTGCCTTGTCAGAGTGGTTGCCTTGTCAGAGTGGTTGCCTTGTCAGAGTGGTTGCCTTGTCAGAGTGGTTGCCTTGTCAGAGTGGTTGCCTTGTCAGAGTGGTTGCCTTGTCAGAGTGGTTGCCTTGTCAGAGTGGTTGCCTTGTCAGAGTGGTTGCCTTGTCAGAGTGGTTGCCTTGTCAGAGTGGTTGCCTTGTCAGAGTGGTTGCCTTGTCAGAGTGGTTGCCTTGTCAGAGTGGTTGCCTTGTCAGAGTGGTTGCCTTGCCAGGTTTTACTGTACATATATTTGTATTCAGTCTATGTCTGTGTGTGTGTTTCTGGTGGTTGCTTTATGTTGTCTGGGGATTTCCCTTTCCCTACTCCCAGCCCCATGCCGTCTCCACACTTAGACACTTAATGACGAGAGAATTGCATATGGAAGACGATTTGTCACCAGTGGACGGAAACATCTGTGTGTGTGTGTGTGTGTGTGTGTGTGTGTGTGTCTGTGTGTGTGTGTCTGTCTGTGTGTCTGTCTGTCTATGTGTGTCTGTGTGTCTGTCTGTCTATGTGTGTCTGTGTGTCTGAGTCTGTGTGTGTGTGTGTGTGTGTGTGTGTGTGTGTGTGTGTGTGTGTGTGTCTGTGTGTCTGTGTGTGTGTCTGTGTGTGTGTGTGTGTCTGTGTGTCTGTGTGTACGTGAACACGCATGTGTTTGTACTGCACAGGTTTAGGCGGAACTAAGCTGTCTATGCTTCGCTTTCTGCCGCCTTCACGCCGTGTCAACACTGTGGATGTGGGCATACGACAATACTGCAAGTTAGTACCTGTTCACATACCCATGTACTACGCCTTATGTGTAGCTACACTCACACACACGCACGCACACGAACACACACACACACACACACACACACACACACACACACACACACACACACACACACACACACATGCAAACACACACCTTTTAAGCAAGAACACACGTTGCTTGGAATAGATGGGGTATGGTCGGAGGGGTTGACTGCGTTTGCCAGGTTCACCTACAGCCAAGACCCTGAAGATGCAGCCGGGAAGATGAGTACTGTATACCGGATAAGTGTGGTGGAGCAGAGAGTAGAGGAACAGTAGCAGCAACAGCAACAGCAACAGCAACAGCAGGAGCCAGTTACTGCTGGAGTCAACCTTGTGAATAACCACCCTCGATGGCGCATGAGAAAAGTGCCGTTGTTCGCGATCTGTCCTTACTGTAGAACGGGTAATTTTAGCGACTATAAATTTTAGCGTTTTCCCATTGTCAACCGGTTAGCTACGTTTTATTTTAGCGATTTGCAGCGATTTTACTCACGGATCACCAGTGCACTACTAATTTCTCAACGGATTAGCGATTTGAAAATTCAGCGAATATGAGTCGATCGTTAAATTCGCTAGGGTTTTTACGTCGCTAAAATTACCCGTTCTACAGTATTCGTGAGGTTAAACGTATGCAGTCAAATGGTCACTAGGTGTGAAGATTGTGTCGTTATTCACGAGCTGTTGTTAGGCCCGAGGGTGTTATTCATGAGGTTGACTGTACACGAATGTCATGGCTGCGTAGCACTTCCTTGAAGTGCTGCATGGGTCCCATTGTGTAGGCAGGCAAGCTGAGGCATCCTTACTACTACTAATTATCAGTACTAAACCACCACGCAACACAAGGTACATGTACATATTCAGGTAGCCATTGCAGGCTTCATCTTCCCAATTCTGCCCTGTTCTGTACGCTGCACTGAATACACGCACGCACGCACGCACGCACACACACACACACACACACACACACATGTGTATACTATACGTGCAGTGCACACCTCTACACATACTACAGCGTCCGCAGCATTGAGCTATGGACACGAATAGTAAGGGAATCAAACATGATACAAAGTACATTGCTGCTCAATGAAATCCAGTCGTGTCACTCAAGTGCTCGCCGGACGTTGCGCAGCCGGCTAGCCCTAGACCTGCGGACACTGGGCTGCGAAATGATGCAAGCGGCGAGTACTTGAGTGACACGACTGGATTTCATTGAGCAGCAATGTACTTTATATCATGTTCGATTCCCTTACTATTCGTGTCCATAGCTCTATGCTGTAGACAGCAAGCTGTTTCGGCTGTCATAGCTCAGCATTGCTGGCCTCAAGCAAAGGTCCCTGGTTCGAGTCCTGGTGGTGACAGTCAATTTTTCTTCAGACTTTTTCCCATTTCCATTCCCTGAACTAATGAATATTTGTGTGTATGCGTGTGTGTGTTCTTTTTTGTTGCTACCGCCACTGCTACTGCTACTGCTGCTGCTGCTGCTGCTGTTGCTACTGCTGGTGGTGCTGGTGGTGCTGGTGGTGTTGATGCTTTGTATGTTTGATCGTCCTGTGCTGTAGGGTATCTGAGGGTGGCAAGCAGTTTGTGTATCCGGATGTGAATGAACTGCTAGCGTGCCAGTGCGTTGTGACTGCCGTCAGCTCTGCTGACCAGCTGCTCTTCATGGGCGTGCCAAAGACTCACTTCACGCACATCATCATTGATGAAACTGCTCAGGTATCGCTCAGAACAGCACTATATCTGTTTGTGTGTGTGGTGTGTGTGTGTGTGTGTATATACGTGCGTGCGTGCATGTGTGTGTGTGTGTGCATGCGTGCGTGCGTGAGTGTATGTACATCCACCACTGGACCAGTAACATTGACCGCCGCAGAATGGGGCCTCCGCTTCAGGGTTGTGGCGTGACATGTTTGAGATACCAGCTTCTCCAGTCTCATCCTGCGCTTACACATTGTCCACTATAGTACAGATATCGTACACTGTGTGTAGACAGCCTGTTCTTCAGCGCCCGGTGTGGCTGTAGTGCATGTGCATTGGGTCTTGGTTACATCGTGCGTGTTGTTGTTCTGTCTCCGTGTTACACCCTGTGCGTGTGTGTTGTTGTGTCCGTGTTACATCGTGCCTCTGTGTTATTGTGTCTGTGTGTGTGTGTGCAGATGATTGAGCCGAGTGCTATCATACCGTTGTCTCTTGCCAGCCTCGGCTGCAAGATTGTTTTGGCTGGCGACACGATGCAGGTGAATGCCCCCCCCCCCCCCCCTCGCCACTCTGCCGTATACCAGTGCTGGTCCTCTTGTGTTTGCATACTACAGTAACACTGTCGTTAAGTACCATTGATCCGCCCCCTGTTGAACTTCTACCTGTGAAGCGACTTCAGCATATACAATGAAATACGATGTTGAAACAATACATGCACTGCTGTACACAATACCTGCCACAGGCTGCCAGTGCACGTATGCATGTGGATGAAAATGTGCATACTGCAGCACGCCAAGTCTGATCTTCCGTGTATTTGTACATACTGCAGTAGTGCTGCACTTGAGAGCCTTGATCTAATTCCTGCCCCCTGCCGAAAAACCAGCTGGAAAGCGACACGGCGTGGGGGTCGGATCAGCGGTACTTTACGGTACATGCACCGTTAAAAAAAACGAGAGAGCTTGGAAGCTCAGGGCCCTACGCTATGCTTTTTTTGCCTTGATGACCTAGACAAAAAAAAGCATAGGGATGTTATAAATTCTTTAAAAAATCCTTTTTTTTTAATAAGACATAACCTGGGATTCGAACCCGCACTATCGCGCGCCCTGCATGCATCCCCCGATACACTTCGCATACATTTGTTTGTTTGTGTGTTTGTTTGTTTGTTTGTGTCACGCCTGGCGCTATCCATATCTGACGGCAAAAAAGCATAGGATGTTATAAATTTTTCAATTCTCCTATTTTTTCAGGCATATCCTGGGATTCGAACCCGCACTATCGCCCTACATGCATTCCCCCATACACTTCGCATTCATACCCATTCTTTCAAGTTGTTTCACATTGTGATCTTGCATTTGAAAGCCCTATTTGAATATGCATTGTGGCCAGCCGTCTTTGATGGCACGGTTACGGTAGGGGATAGGTACGGGACAGGTACGATCGAGGGTAATACGACACCGTCTCCCGTACCGTACCGTACAATCAAACACAGCTGGCCACATACAGCTGCCCGCAATATTCAATTAGGGCTTTCAAACGCAAGATAATAACGTAAAGCAACTTGGAAGAATGGGTATGAATGCGAAGTGTATGGGGGAATGCATGTAGGGCGATAGTGCGGGTTCGAATCCCAGGATATGCCTGAAAAAAAAGGAGAATTGAAAAATTTATAACATCCTATGCTTTTTTGCCGTCAGATACGGATAGTGCCAGGCGTGACACAAACAAACACACAAACAAATACCAAATTAAAGCTGTGTGGACCCTGGCTAGCGCCAGACGTTACTGAAGTAACGTCTTCTGCATAGCTACGGGAATAAATATTCTTTATTGCTGGTCTTCGGGCTACACTGCTGTCTTGTCGTGTCCCCTGTGAACCATATCACCTTACTGGAGTACTGGTATACGAGATATTCTTGGACATGATGCACATTTAATTTTAGTCCAGAATTCAATTGAACCGCCCGTAAATGATACCAGGGAATTGGGGATACCTTTCGGCAGACCTCGGCACACGTCTGGACTACTGTGAAGCGGCTAGTTTTAGCGCTGGTGAAATTTTAGCGATTTAAAGGAAAGGAGTGTTTTCACTAGAGTTTTGCCGTACCGCGCCAATAGGGCTTGAAAGTGCTACGTCACAGCATAGCAACAATTTCAAAAATTCAAAACTGGATCCACTTGGATCCAGTTTTTGTATGGATCTAAGCACATTTCAAGCGTATGTGCAGTTCAGTTCTAGTTATCTATTTTTTCACTCTGAAACTGAAAAACACTCATGCCCACTAAAATAAGCCGTTCTACAGGAGTCGCTTTGGTATTTTGTTGCTACTGTTGCTGTTAATGGTGTTGCTGCTGCTGTTGCTGCTGTTGCTGTTGTCATTGCTGCTGCTGCTGGTGTTGTTGGTGCTGTTTTTGCTACTGCTGCTGGTGTTGGTGCTGCTATGACGATCGCTGTTGTCATCGTCATCATTCTTTGTGTACAGGTTGAGCCAGTCGTTCAGTCTTCCATTGCAAGAAAGTACAATCTCCATCGCTCGGTCCTGGAGCGTCTCTACTTTCACCCGGTGTATGAAGCTGTGCCCATGCTGCGTATTGATCTGCTGCTCAACTATCGCTGTGTGCGCGAGGTAAGCAGCTGCTGAGCAGCTCAATGTGCTCCTCTACAGTGTAGTGAGTGAATGCCATGCGTTTTGTGCTTGGTGTGTGTTTGTGTGTGTGTGTGTGTGTGTGTGTGTGTGTGTGTGTGTGGTGGTGGTGGTGGTGGTGTGGGGGGGGGGGGGGGGGGGGTATGTGTGTGCGTGTATACTGTGTGTGCGTGTGTCTGTGTCAGTCATCAGCCTTGCAAGCTGTTGAATGGTGTAATCCCAGCACAAGTTGCTATGTCTAACATAGCTGTTCGCTATCATCGCTTCCGCGATGGGCAAGTCTGAGGTCTGTGTCAGATCCTAGAGCTAGCATCAGACCTCCGTGACTATACTGTTTGCGTGCTTGTGTGCGTGCGTGCGTGCATACGTGTGTGTGTGTGTGCGTACATGCGTGCGTGTGCATGCGTGCGTGCATGTGTCTGTGTGCGTGTGTCAGATCCTAGAACTGGCATCGGATCTCTTCTACCAGGGGCGTGTGCGCCACTGTCATGTTAAGAAAGCCGGTGGACCGCAGGATAGATCACCGTTGACGTTTATCAACGTGTCAGGGTCAGAGTGCCGCAATTCAGACTCGCCGTCCTTTTTCAACTCTGATGAATCAACAGCAGTCATACAAGAGGTGGGTAGCGTGGGTGACCGGTAGGTGTGTGTGTGTGTGTGGGGGGGGGGGGGGGGTGGGGGGGGGGGGGTGTTGGTGGATGGGTGGGTAGGCAGATACTGTATAAGCAGAAATATTCGTCTGGAATTTAATTTCGTCTTTTTCGTCCAAGGCGCTTTTGGACTAAATTAAATCCCGGACTAATGTTGATTTGTCCAGCTTTTCAATACACTCTTATGATCCATGGACGAAATTTACAACCGGACGAACTCCCTTTCTTTGGAGTTGGACGAAATTATTGACCGACGAAATTTTCTGCCTGTACAGTAGGGAGGTGGGTAAGTACGTAGGCAGGTAAGTTGTTTGTTTGATTGGACGGATGGTAGGTAGGTAGAAGCAACAGTATAATTTGGAGCCTCAATGTTGTGCTCACCACTGGTTATTTACAAAAACAGCAATGACTCTGCAAGAGACCTGGCGCGGGATCTTTTAGGGCGCATGCCCGTGTAACTTGCTCATGCGCGCAAATTGGGCCAGCTCGCTGGGCTGGCTACTAACGCTCATTTAGCATCCCCCCCCCCCCCCCCGCCTATGTTGGATTACGCCGGGAGTGCTGACACGAGAAACTGGTTAAAGTGTCGAAGCAAGCGCATAGTGACCCCGCTTGGAGCCACTAGATGGCTCGTAGCTGAGCCGCCAAATGACTCCGCATGGAGCCGTCAAATGACTCCGCATGGAGCCGCCAAATGACTCCGCATGGAGCCGCCAAATGACTCCGCATGGAGCCGCCAAATGACTCCGCATGGAGCCGCCAAATGACTCCGCATGGAGCCGCCAAATGACTCCGCATGGAGCCGCCAAATGACTCCGCATGGAGCCGCCAAATGACTCCGCATGGAGCCGCCAAATGACTCCGCATGGAGCCGCCAAATGACTCCGCATGGAGCCGCCAAATGACTCCGCATGGAGCCGCCTAATGCTAAATGTATAAGTACATGTATGCAGAAAACCAGTTGGCGGATGCGATGGAGTCAAATATGGCCGGGCTTGAGCGTTGTCCTATGGGCAGATCCTCTGGGCGGACAGGAATTTGGCGGAATGCACTTTTGACATCAAGCTTAGCAAGATACACCGGGGCAGGCAAGTGCATGATAAGGTTAACAGCATCGTCAATAGTGACATAATGCCCGATGATAATGGAGAGAAAAGGGGTCTGCTGGGATAGAATCATTGACACTCTGACCCTCTGGCACACTGGACAAATGGTGTATCATGCGTAATTTCCCCGTTCTTCTTAGGAAGCGGCCCTATACCAGAGCAGCGCGTAAACGGGAAAAGGGGGTGCAGGAAATGGGCCAGCTGTTTCATGCCTGCTGCAGGAAGCGTGACGTTGTGCAGAAATAAAGTTAGGGTTAGCATGTGCAGAGGGTAAATTCTGTGACTCACAGTTAGTTGAGCGGTCGCCAGTGAAGCCTACATCAAAAGCCGAATCTAAGACCATGACTGTACATATTTATTTCCGGCCTGGACATGTTTGGCCGGAAATTTGTTGCGGCCGAAATTTAGTTTTGCAAGGTTCAGTGTGACAGTGTATACAGGCGGCAGCAGTACAGGCCGAACATGTGTTTTAGTTCTGGGAGGCTGAAATTTGAATGTGCCGAAAATTTGTCCACTTACAGTATGGATGTTGCTAGTGTCTATGCAAGTACATCTTATAGAGTCAGCAGTGGTGCTTACTGGGAGGGTTTATGAGTGATGCTAGTGCCTGTACAGGGGCGTCGGAAGGAGTTTAACATTGGTGCGGCCAAAGTGTGAGAGGGGGGGGGGGGGCCGGGGGTCTTCCCCCGTGATTTTGTTTGAAAATTGGGCCTAAAAGGCCATATTTTAATGCTACAGAATAATATGAGAAAAAAGAATATGCGAATATCCGTACATTTTTTATGCATGCATGAGATACCCCACACCTTTTCAGGCCTGCAAAAAGCATAGATTTTTAGAATTTCGACTTCGTTTGACAATTGGAATGTATCATTGTGTTAGTTCTAATTCTGCCCATACAAGAGTACTGAGAGGCCGGTTCCCGTCTAAAAAAATCGAAAATTATTGGTGCGGCTTTGGCCGCACCTGCCGCACTGGTTCCGACGCCCCTGCTGTACAACTACTGGGATGGTGTATGAGTGATGCTAGTGCCTGTACAACTACCGAGAACCGAGTCAATACGGGTGCTTACACAGCTACTGGCTGGGCCGTGTGCGCTGAGACCTGGGATGCTCCAGTCCTTTCGGCACCGGAGGCAGATGTGAGCGAAGCAGCACTGCTTGAACTGGCACTTTCCAGCGTTGTAGTTGCGGCGTATGGGCTGGCTAGTTGCTGCAGTCCTGGATGCGAATCCATTGCTGGACTGGCGGTTGGCACGAAAAGGGGCATGGAAATGCTGGTGGGTGCACTAGGCTGCATTGCTGGCAGGCGGGTCGTACCTTCCCGGTCAAGCAGAGCTGCTGCCACAGGTTGATGTCGATGACATCTAGTTTCTTGCCATGCTGTGAAGCAGTGGTGGAGCGGAGCTGACGATCGTACGGAAAGCTACAAGGACATCTTGCCGTACGACAATTGCCGTGTGGTGCTGAGCCCGGCGGTGGGTGGCTCCGACTACGTCAATGCATCGCTGGTGCGGGCGCGCACGGACGGCATGCCCGACGCCATCGCCTCGCAGGCGCCGCACAACGACAGCGCGTCCGCCGTGCTTCGGGCAGAAACTGACGATTGGCTACGGCAATCGTGGCCTGGTACGATAGGCACTCATGAAGACGGTGAGGAGCAGCAGAACGCAAACCATTCACGTATATGGTCCAGGCCTCAACCCATGTGCTAAAATCATGCACCCTACGACGAACAGTTCTGGGCTCAGATTCAACCAGTGCTAGTGCGCCGGACGAGCTGCCGGATGAACGAAGTTGGAATGCCATCGGTACTGCACTAGACTTGGCTGCGATCGTATCGGGCAACAAATAATCAAAGTCCACGAACTCATCTCTCTGTATGCGATCGAGGAGAGCCCGTGGTAGAGTCAGGTTCACCTGGTGGGGCTGTTGGTGCTGCATGCCGGTCGTTGCTGCGTTCACAGCAGGGTCCGGGTTGCTGATGGCAGGCGGCGATGCTGAGCCAGGCAAGGCGAGGAGAGGCAGCGGCTGGACAGCATTGGGGTGACAGCAGTAGATACAGCGCGTTGAACCTCCTCCGCCATCATGGCCTGCATTGTGGATGTGTCCTTGCTGTCCGGAGCTCGGCTGGGGCCTGTTGGCTGCGTTGGCGGCAGTGGCCATGCAGGCGCCAGTGCCAGATCTTTTCGGCACGCCAGACGAAGTTGCAGCCACCACGGGGGGCTCGACAGTTGCAGGTGCATTGGCCTCGCTGCGGCGTTTCCTGCGATTATCCATGGCTCGAAATACTGGAGCGCAGAAGGGAAATCGGAAATCACAGCAAAATGTTCTGCGAGTTGCAAGCTCGAAAGTCAAAAACCGTTATGACCCTGCAAGAGACCTTGCGCGGGATCTTTTAGGCGCATGCCCGCGTGACTTGCACATGCGCGCAAATCGGACCAGCTCGCTGGGCCGGCTGCTAACTTGCGTTAGCATGCTAACGCTCATTTTGTTGTTGTTTGTTTTCAAGCCACAGTTCTGTTAGATTGTACATTGCATTTGGAGTGGTTGGTTTCTTCAGTTCAACTCCACAACAACACCAATGGATGGAAACACAGAACACAAAGACACGAAGGACACAAAATGCTTGGCTTACTAGTAGCGGGAGGGGCTGGCTCTCGCCAAGTATGGCCAGTCTCGGCTAGTTTCCCTGGCATCGCCGTCGTCCTTGAGGGCCACTGCACCTCCTTGGTCCTTCTGAAGTTCTGTGCAGTCCGGGCAGGCATGCACCAGATGCCCTGTCTGTCCACAGTCAGAACAACGGCGCACCTGCTGCTCGCGCTGAGAGTAATTGTTCCGTCCACGTTCCGCTGGTGCTGGATAAGGAGAAACACCTGAAGAAGAAGAGCTCAGAGCTAAAGTGTCAAGCGTTTGCAAAATTCGGTCTAGCATGAAAAACATCGGCTCAGTACGTGTACTAGCAGTGCATGGCATCGATGCTGCTGGTGGGACTGGGAGTCAAACGTCAGCTCTTATACTAACTGCTGATATGTTCTTTTATAGCTACAAGGATGACTAATTGCACTGTAAGCATTTCATATATGTTGACACGTATGTGTAAAATATATTATGTTCTTGTTCTACATTGTCCTTGTCGTTAGGTGCGCAAGTTTGTTGATGGTGGACTGCAACAGGATGAGATTGGAGTGGTCACACCGTATGCCAAGCAAGTTGAGCTCATTCGCGGTGGACTGCGGCGCAAGAAACTGTACTCTGTAAGCTGCAAGTTCTCAATGTGTGTGTGTGTGTGTGTGTGTGTGTGTGTGTACGTGTGTGTGTGTGTGTGTGTGTGTGTGTGTGTGTGTACGTGTGTGTGTGTGTGTGTGCTTTCGATCTGCTGCTGGATTTAAACGGCACAATTGCGAGCGTGGCAAGCGACCAACAGCGAGGGAGCGTCTTGAGTTCAAGTTCTGCTGTGCGTGCGGCGAGAGATATCGCAGACAGCAGGATCTGCAGCGGCATGAGGTCGGATGTTCTGCCGCGACGCCGTGATGCTACTCCTTTGTTCCCCTCCTCATGAGGGCAGCTTAGCCGTTTAACGGCAGCTGTTTGTCAAGGTCAAGGTGTGTGTGTGTGTGTGTGTGTGTGTGTGTGCGTGTGTGCGTGAGTGTGTGTGTGTACGTGTGTGTTTGTGCACGTGTGCATTCAGGCATATCTACTCTCTGCATGCTGTCATGCGATATGTTTATTAATCGTGACATTGCTCCACCATACGTAGTGCTGTCACTCAGACTCTCTGGACAGCTAGCTGTACTCGACCTTGTTAGGTCTGTTAGTCAGCGGAGCTCAGAGTTGTACTATCTGTGACCGTGTGTGTGTGTGTGTGTGTGTATGTGTGTGTGTGTGTGTGTGTGTGTGTGTATGTGTGTGTATGTGTATGTGTGTGTGCATGTGTGTGTGTGTGTGTGTATATGCATGCGTTTCTCAGGTCCGTGTAATGACGATGAGAGCACTGCAAGGTCACGAGTTCCGTGCTGTCATAGCAACCACAGTGCGTACGTGTGGCTCCGACAAGGACCGCAATCCCGATGATCCTATGCTTGGATTTTTGTCTGGACCGAAGGTACGTTCAACTATGCCATATGGGCTATCATCCACTCGTCAAATTGCACTGCTTTCAACTCAAGTCTTCACGTACTTGTACAGGCATATGCAGTCCTGCTCAATGACATCCAGTCGTGTCACTCGAGTTTGCGCCTGGCACCATTTCCCAGCCCAGTGTTCGCAAGTCTAGGGCTGCGCAACGCCCCGGCGCATACTCGAGTGACGTGACTGGATTTCATGGAGCAGCGCTGTAGATTTTATGTACCCATTCTACACGCCCAGGCTGGTCACACGAATCTTCTGTAAGAGTGGACTGGAAGCTGTGTGACAAGTCGACTGTTGAACAATTTGCAAATTTTCCACCTTGAGAGCACAGAGTTTAACCACCCTGCCATCACACGTCCATCTTTTATTCCTCTAGTACAGAGCGGAGAAGAAATAACACCGCAGTAAGGTTTCTTGAGTTAACGATGGATTTTTTTAGGCTACATTCTAATATTGTGCTGCAGCACTGTGTTGAAGTAGTAACGAGGCGTTCTCAAACATAACCACTCTCTTCCGTTGTAATTCAGGGGTAGAGTGTTGTGTGTGTGTGTATGTGTGTGTGTGGTCGTATAGTTACGATGCCGACACTCTCCTCGTCGCCCCCACCTCGGAGTCCTTCGCGAGGCCTTGCAAGCCCGCGAGTGGAGCAAACTACCGCACGAAGACGACGACTTGGAACGACTCTCAGCATTGGCTCATGGAGTGTTCGCTCTGTTGTGGAGAATGATGGACCAGTTCAAGCGGCAGCCGTGAGAGGAATCGTTTCCGATGATAAGCCAGATCATATAGCTGCCAGAGATGGCTCTCTCGAACATGGTTCCTGAGTCCCTGACCTCTCTCTCAGCGGGCTGCCGTCGCTCGCCGTTCCATATTGTCGGCCCCGCAAGGGTACACGTGACCGTAATGGTAGTGTTTTATCAGGACCAGGTGTGTGTGTGTGAGTGTGCGTGTGTGTGTGTGTGTGTGTGTGTGTGCGTGCGCGTGTGTGTGTGTGTGTGTGTGTGTGTGTGCGTGCGTGCGCGCATGCGTGCATGTGTGTGCGTGCATGACCGCGTGCAAACATATGTGTGCACGCGTGTGTGTACGCGTAAAAGTGCGTGAGCATCTGTACACAGTGTCTTTTTGTGTGTCTTTTTATTTTTTTCCACCGCAGATATTCAACACGCTGGTGACACGTGCCGAAGAGTGGCTGGTTGTCGTTGGTAACGCCATGACGCTGATCACCGTGGGCAACAACAGAGGGCATTGGAATCACTTCTTGACGCGCAGCAGCCGCTTAGCTGGGTTCTACAGCGACACGAACGAAGACTTTGCCACTCTGTGTGAGAAGACTTCCAGTATGCAGTAAGTCAAATGGCTGACTTGTTACACTGCATTTTATTGCACAATATTGTTACAGAAGAAGTAGCGACGACCCGGCCATTATGGAATCCAACACACCACACCACCACACCACCACATTGCGCTCTTGGCCGATCCAAACTCTGCACTCACATCACCATCACCACAGCAAGGACAATTCCGGTATATAGATTGATATTAGTGAGGTTCTGCTCTACGTTTCGGGAACACGACGCAAAGAATCACGCGAACTCTTGCCTGTTCATATGGTGAAGTAAAATGAAGAAACAACAAACAAACAAACTCTCTTCGCGTTCCCGTAACGTAAAGAAATCCAGTTCTGCTCTCCGTTTCACGTGGAGAAGTCACGTGGGATGTGCACTGGGAATTTCCCCTTCCACATTTGGCAGTTTTCTGCCTGCACTCGAATGCTACCCAGCAGATCCGTACGCATTTTCTTTGCGTGTGCCACAACGTAGAGAACCTCATCTCCGCGTAGAAATTTGGACCCAAAACACGCGAAGCCGTAGACTCTAACCCAGACACCTGCTCTCTACGTGATTTCTCTACGTTTCACGTATAGCAGAACCTCTCTAATGACAATGACCCTCCAGACAGCTGCTTCGCTCCTCCTGAGCTCATCAGTGGAGGCATATGTTGAATGAAAGAATAATAAGAATAGACTGATCTTTACAGGGCTAAATTGGCGCAATTGCGCTCATTCTGCATAGAAGCGTGGCATACCCTAAGTGACAAAAGTGATAACAAGGTCAGGTGATAACGACACGCGCTCATGGCTGGGACAGGAACATGTAGCACGTGTGAAAAGGGGGGGGGGGGGGCGCAAAAAACAGCAGTCAGTCTAACACCAGAAAAGTTAGTTATTGCACGTGCCACAAAAACAAAGATACTGCGACTGATTGTACTTGTCCCATCACGTCACTATGAATTGTTGACACCTTTACCTTGTCTGTCAGTATCACCCTTTGTCTTCAGACCTTTGTTTGTCTTCAGACTAGGGCTGAAACGATCATTCAATAACTCCTAACGATCGACCAATATCATTAACGATCGATATATTGGTTTGTCGATTCTTGTCTGCTCTACCCGTGTACTTCGAACACCAGTTTATGAAGAAATTCCACGATACCTTTTGCTACGGTACATAATTGTGGCTCCGCACTGTTGACATCTGGCTGATTTATCAACATGAACTAGAAAATTTCATGTTGTTTCTAGAGTGAAGTATCTTGTCATCACTCGCTGGCAACTGCTCTTATCTCCGACCTCTCCCACAAATGAACCGAAAAGACAAAGTCTCCTCTCCCGATCTCTTTCAAAGCCAATAATAAATTTTACTGCGCTTAGAAGTACATGATTGTACTCGTCTTCACTATCGGATGGAGTACAAGGGCTAGAATACTGTCACTGATGTGCATGCATAAAAAACCGTTAGCACTCGTTTTGAACACTAACGATTATCGATTGCACTCTTAACGATCGATATGCGATTTATCGGTATAATTGTTTCAGCCCTACTTCAGACCTCTGGGGGAGTATACATTGTATGCCGGGTGACTACTCTCTATCTGCTGTGCTAAATTAGCACGACAGCTTTTAGCGCTCCCCTGGGGTAACCCCAGGCACTTTCCACTACAAATAGTAACAGCATAGTTCAGCGTCATTCCATTGCCAACATGTGTGCCCGGTGGTTGGTAGGCTTGTGAACTTGTGATGCTGTCTGATGGGTGCTTTGATGCGAAATGCTTAGCAAGAGGTGAGCTGCAGAGAAGATTCCTCCTGGTTGTAGTCGGTTGCTGTGTGTGTGTGTGTGTGTGTGTGTGTGTGTGTGTGTGTGTGTGTGTGTGTGTGTGTGTGTCTGTCTGTGTGTGTGTGTCTGTGTGTGTGTGTGTGTTTGTTTGTGTGTGTGTGTGTGTGTTGTTGTTGTTGTTGTGTGTGTGTCTGTGTGTCTGTGTGTGTTCATGTAGTACTTGTACAGACTAGTCTGAGAGAGATAGAGAGATAGAGAGATAGAGCAGTGTAGCCTAGTCTCGGAGAGACATAGAGAGATAGAGCAGTGTAGCCTAGTCTCGGAGTACTGTAAAAGCCATTATTCTAACGGTGCGCATTTATAACGATTTCCTAGAATTGACTGGTTTACGTGTACCAAAGGTAACGATTCTTACTCATTCTCGACGCTCAATAGCAACAGTATTGTATCGATTTCTGTATAACGATTTCTATTTTAACGACAGATTTCTCCTCGTTAACTCGTTAGAGTTAACACTTCGTTATGAACATGGCTTTTACAATAGTACAGCCTTGTCTTGGGAGTAAAGACACAGTCTAGTCTCAGAGTAGTACAGCCTTGTCTGGGAGTAAAGACACAGTCTAGTCTCAGAGTAGTACAGCCTTGTCTGGGAGTAAAGACACAGTCTAGTCTCAGAGTAGTACAGCCTTGTCTGGGAGTAAAGACACAGTCTAGTCTCAGAGTAGTACAGCCTTGTCTGGGAGTAAAGACACAGTCTAGTCTCAGAGTAGTACAGCCTTGTCTGGGAGTAAAGACACAGTCTAGTCTCAGAGTAGTACAGCCTTGTCTGGGAGTAAAGACGCAGTCTAGTCTCAGAGTAGTACAGCCTTGTCTGGGAGCAAAGACACAGTCTAGTCTCAGAGTAGTACAGCCTTGTCTGGGAGTAAAGACACAGTCTAGTCTCAGAGTTCAGTGTAGTGTAGTATAGTGCTGGCATTGTGTGGCAGTGTGCACTGATGTGTATGTGACTGGGAGAACTGGACATTGACAACGAGACAATGAGGTAATGTACATGTAGATATGGGTGTTCTTTTCTCATGTTCCAGGGCCCGCATTTCTGTGGTATGTGTATGGTACATGTATTCTTTACCCACAATCCCTGGTCTGGATTTAGAAGTATCTGGCATTCTTTCCTCATGTGCCAGATATATTTCGGTGGTGTTATTTTCTGTTGCCTGAGTGCCACTCTCTCTAAGAACCGTGCTTGAATGAGAGATTTGATCCTTGTGTCTTTGTTTGCGAATTTCTTCAACAGGCTTTGCTATGCACTTGCAGATTATAGTGTGTGTGTGTGTGTGTGTATGTGTGTTTGTGTGTGTGTGTATGCGTGTTTCTGTGTGTGTGTGTGTGTTTCTGTGTGTGTATGTGTGTTTCTGTGTGTGTTTCTGTGTGTGTGTGTTTCTGTGTGTGTGTGTGTGTGTATGTGTATGTATGTGTGTGTGTGTGTGTGTGTGTGTGTGTGTGTATGTGTGTGTGTGTGTTTCTGTGTGTGTGTGTGTGTATGTGTGTGTGTTTCTGTGTTTCTGTGTGTGTGTATGTGTGTTTCTGTGTGTGTGTGTGTGTGTGTTTCTCTGTGTGTGTGTGTATGTGTGTGTATGTGTGTGTGTGTTTGTGTGTCTGTGCACACACCTGTTTATTTCATGTTCTTGTTGTCTAATCTAGTGACATGATTGCGAATGCGACGGACCCGGAGTACATGGTGAGAAGGATTGCTCTAATGTTATCGTCTGTGAAGTATGATGGTGCTCTCTCTCTCTCTCTCTCTCTCTCTCTCTCTCTCTCTCTCTCTCTCTCTCTCTCTCTCTCTCTCTCTCTCTCTCTCTCTCTCTCTCTCTCTCTCTCTCTCTCTCTCTCTCTCTCTCTCTCTCTCTCTCTCCCCCCCCCCCCCCGTGCCGCTGTCCCTATCTCTCTCCTTCTCAGTGTCCGTCTGTCTGTCTCTTTTTTTCTGTAGCATATTTTGAGTTGAATGTCGACTTGTTCTGCAGTGCAGCATTGCAAGTTGTTTTGTTGAACCATGCAACACATGCACAGCTCTCAGGCTGCAGTTCATCCAATCCTGCTGTAACCATGGTAACCAACCGATGTCTTTATTACACTAGTCACACCAGTATAGGGCACCGAAGAACGGAGGGACTCAAGGCGCAGCCTGCCATTGTTCTCTAAAATGTTCAAATGCTAGTCGCTTTGTTCATATTCCACGATCATGGAGAGCATCATGCCATGCAAGCACACCACATACAAAGCAGTACATGTGTTCCTAATTCTGCAAATCTAGCCTGGATTGTTCTTCAGTTTGTGACGTTTTCCAGCCGAAGTGTGCAAAGTACATATCATGATACCAACCCTGCATAAAAACGTCCTGGACTGTGTACCATCTAAACTCAAAAATGTACTAGAGCTGGCTGTGCGTGCCAAAGAGCAGCATTTCGAACGTCCCCATAGCTCACATTGGCGGTGCGGTTGGCACACTAGGTGAACTAGTGGATGGTTCCGATTTCGTACATCTTTATGTTCGGGTTGTCTATGGTGTTGTGACACCAATCACGTTTCAAGTTGCAAGTGAAATGATAACGACAGCATCCCCAAATCAGTACTAGGCTAATAGTTCTCAATCATCAAAACTCTCACATCCTTCTTGTTTATGTGCTGTTCCTGTTGCTGTTGCTGCTGCTGTTGCTGTTGTTGCTGCTCTTGTTGCTGCTGCTGTTGCTGTTGCTGCTGTTGCTGCTGCTGTTGCTGCTCTTGTTGCTGCTGTTGCTGCTGCTGTTGCTGCTGTTGTTGCTGTTGCTGCTGCTGCTGCTGCTGCTGTTGTTGCTCTTGTTGCTGCTGCTGCTGCTGCTGGTTTTGGCTGTGGTGGTGGTGGTGGTGGTGGTGGTGGTGGTGGTGTGGCTGCTGGCGCTGCTGTTGTCGGTTCCTACTGCTGTTGCTACTTGCCAGCCTAGAGATCTTCCACGGGCCAGCACACTACCTGGGTGAGTAGTAATCGTAACGATGGTTAGTAGTAATATTACGATGGTTAGTAGTAATATTACGATGGTTAGTAGTAATATTACGATGGTTAGTAGTAATATTACGATGGTTAGTAGTAATATTACGATGGTTAGTAGTAATATTACGATGGTTAGTAGTAATATTACGATGGTTAGTAGTAATATTACGATGGTTAGTAGTAATCGTAACGATGGTTAATAGTAATATTCTCTTTGATATCACGTTCCATTGGGAGGAGGCTGGCGACCTTCTACTCTTGTTGAGATGTGATTATTGGAATCAGCAGCAGTCTCCTCCCCCCCCCCCCTCCCCGACACACACGTGCACCCCTGTATATGCACCACCCTCACACATGCACCCCCTGTATATGCACCACCCTCACACATGCACACACCCCCGACACACACACATAATATACCCAACACACACACACACATATACCCAACACACACGCATGCACCCCCACCCCCATAATGCTACACACATGCTCCCCCCCCCCCCCCCCCCACACACACACATGTACCCAACACACAATCCCCCTCCCCCGCCCCTGCCCCTTCCCCCCCCCCATAATGCTACACACATGCACCCCCTCTCCCCCCCCCCCCCCCACACACACACACATGTACCCAACACACAATCCCCCTCCCCCGCCCCTGGCCCTGCCCCTTCCCCCCCCCCCCACACACACACATGCACCCAACACACATATACTCCTCCCCTCCCCATAATGCTACACACATGTCTTGCATGTTCGCTTCTGCAAGGGCTCATGCCTATTATGTCTGATTTCTCGTTCAGAAACCAAGCCTCTATACAAATGATTCGGGCGGCAGACCCCGAGAAGCGAAAGAGGATGTTCTGGGCTTACTTGGAACCTGATGTTCGGGAGCTCTACCCTCTCAACTATCATCAGATATTGGGTTAGTGCACTCCTGCTTTGCTTGTGCTTGTGTGTGTGTGTGTGTGTGTGTGTGTGTGTGTTTGTGTGTGTGTGTGTGTGTGTTTGTGTGTGTGTATGTGCACTAGTGCAGACGTATGCGTGTGAGCATGCGTTCATGTATACAGTCAACTTCGCTAATAACGACTGCGGATATAACGACAATTCGCGAACAACGACAGAATTTCCATGCCCAGAACAAAGTCCATTCTACCTGTATATACATGTACCGTATTAAGTCGCACCTTTTTACACTAAAAGTCAGGGTAAAAAAGTGGGTGCGACTTACAATCGAGCATGACTTACTACTGAAGTGAATATATCGCAACAATATTGCTCAAACCTGGAAATGGCGGTGCGACTTTTAATCGAGTGCGACTTTTAATCGGGGAAATACGGTAATGAGACTTTGTGTATAACGACACTTGGCGAATAAGGACACTTTTCTGATGCTGGGCCGAGTGTCGTTATACGCAAAGTTGACTGTACGTCCATTTTCCTGTACCACACTGGACTCATCAACACATCAACACCATACAACACAACCGTCCAGGGTTTCCCGGGACAGTCCAGGGAATAGGGTGTTTGTCCCGGGACAGTCCAGGGAATAGGGTGTTTGTCCCGGGACAGTCCAGGGATGTCCTGCGAAAGTCCAGGCATTAAAAGATGGAACTTTTGAAATGGAAGTTCTCCTTTTATGACGCTTTTTCAGTGGTTGGTTGAACTTCTAGATCCATTGTAAGTAGTGACACAGCATGCAGTAGCGCGCACTAGATAAAATAATAAATAAAAATACATTTCCCGTTTGTGTCCTTCCCTCAAACTAGTGAAAAAAATACATCTATAGAAAGTAAAAAGGACCAAGGAACTACAAGTTTCTCAAAATGCGAAGACTCCACTGTAGCCATCCACTATATCCATACATCTTCACAACACTCTTCAAACGGTCTCTGCTCGGTCTCTGCTCGGTCTCTGCTCGGTCTCTGGGCTACACTATATTGTCCACTAACACCACCAGTTACTAAACAATCAACTCGTGCGATAACGTAATATAGTTGTAGAACGTCAGTACCGTCGGTCAGTGTCGTGCAATGTTATCGCATGAGCTGATTGTTTAGATACTGGTGGTGTTAGTGGACATTATAGCGTAACTTGTAGTTCCTTGGTCCTTTTTTCTTTTTATAAATAATCCTTGGCTCTCCATCTGAGTTCAAAAATACATCTGCTAATGATGGATGCGCTAAAAAAACTGGTGTCCAGGGAAAACGGTCTAAATCAAGGGAATTCAGCCTCGTTGTCCACGGATCTCAAGCCTCCAGATTGGCTTGTATGGAACATGTGTGTAAAATTGTTTGCTTTTGTCTCCTGTTGTGTGTGTACCTGGGTGTGTGTGTGTGTGCACGTGTGTGTACGTGTGTGTGTGTGTGCGTGCATGTGTGTGTGTGTGTGTGTGTGTACATGCGTGTGTGTGTGTGCGTGTGTGTATGTGTGTACGTGTGTGTACATGCTCATGTGTGCACGTATTTCAGGTGTGCTGGTTGGCTGGGAGGTTGAGGATCTGTTTGACATGCTAGCAGATGGCTGGCTTATGAAGTCTAAAGTGGAAGAAGTGGCACTGGACCTTGGGTATGTTTCCAATCTAGCAGCTGCACATTATACTCCGGATATACAGTCAACTTTGCTTTTTTAAGGACAATCGGCGGGGCATCAAAAAAGTGTTCTTATTCGCGAAGTGTCTTATACCCCAAGTCTCATTATGTGTATTACAGTTAGATGGGACTTTGCTCTGGGCATGGAAATTCTGTCGTTATTCGCGAATTGTCGTTATATCCGCAGTCGTTGACTGTACCTTGAATTGCCAAGATGTTGGCAAAAAAAGAGAGATGTGCATTATGCTCAGGTGCGCGTTATTTTCCAGCAAATGCGGTATTTGCGCAGCCCGATTACCCCGGATTACCCCTGGACTACCCCGGATTTTCCTGGACTACCCTTGGATTACCCCGGATTACCCCGGGTCACCCCGGATTATCCTGGACTACCCTAGTTTCTCGTCACACCTTTACACGTGAACCTTACGAATCACATTTGACAGATTGTAATCCATCATGCATGAAATTGCCCAAATTATTGTAATGCCGTGAGTTCTTGCTCGAGTCTAGAACATGTAATCAAAACGTCTATCAAAATCAGAAAACGCTCAGCAGTCGCCTCGAAGAAACCCGAAGGTGGTCCGAGGTCTATGAACAGAGGTCCCCCTCACTTTATTCTACCCCGTTTCTCCATCTCTCTCAATGGTGCGGTATGCACGTGTGTGTGTGTGTGTGTGTGTGTGTGTGTGTGTGTGTGTGTGTGTGTGTGTGTGTGCACGTGTGTGTGTGTGTATGCGTGAATGCGTGTGTATATCCAATATGCCACCGCCCCGCTGTGCAGCATCTGATGGTTCTGTGGTATTCAGTAAAAAAAATGTGTGTGTGTGCATGCGTGTGTGTGTGTGTGTGTGTGTGTGTGTGTGTGTGTGTGTGTGTGCACGTGTGTGTATGTGCATACATGCATGTATGTGCATGTGCGGATGCTTGTGTGTGCTGTGTTTTGTTGACAGTGTGGCAGTAGTTCCGGAAAGGGACATACTGGATGATCTGGGTGATATTCTCCACGACAGCAGTCTTGAACTGTCAGGGAATTTAGGCCTCCCACCGCCACCAGCAGCAGCAGCCTTATCTGCACAGCAGCAGGATTATCAATTTCAGCGCGGTGTGCGCCCGGTGCCCAGCAGACTGTCCACAAGTGCCGCTGAGTTCACACCGCAGGGCTTCATGCAACAACAACAGGCCATGCAGGCAACGCCGCCGCCCGACAACAACGGCGATGCGTCGTCGTCCGCAGGTTCCTTGATGCACCAGGGTGGTGACCCTTCGCTCACAGGTGTCAACTCTACTCATTATGATCAGATGCTGCCGCCGATGGATCAGCCAGCGCCACCGCAGCCGTCTTCTAGTGTTGCTACTGCTGTTAATGGCAGTGGCGGTGATGAGATGTCCACACCGACGTGGAATGCTGATGCTAATGTTGAAGGTGACTTGGTGTGTCATTATGTGTGTGTGTGTGTGTGTGTGTGTGTGTGTGTGTGTGTGTGTGTGTGTGTGTGTGCGTGCATGTGTGCGTGTGTGTGTGCGTGCGTGTGTTTTTTCTCTATGTGTGTGTGTATGTGTGTGTGTTCTAGCTAGTTTGGTTGGTGGGTACACTTATACCTGATTGTAATGGGTATGTTGCCAACAGGCTTGGCTGCTTGAAGGTTTAAGAGGGCATGTCTGAGAATACCAAAGTATGTGTGCAAGTGGATCTCTCCGATTTCGCTCAAAATTTGCAGGTAGGTTCCCTTTGGGGTGTGGATCGATTATGCAAAGCCCTTGAAAATTTTTCTGAAGGGAACCTTGAAATTTGCATACCCCTCAAAAATGGCCGAAATATCACATTATTTATGGGTCTAGAAACGAGTCACGCCACAGCGTATACGAACAAGCTATGAACAAAACTCCATCAAGCCAACATTGCCTCACCTTAGAAGAGTTCCTGGAGCAGTACCGCTTAGCCACGCCAGCATCCCAGAAGACGAGGTCCATCACCCCCTGACGCCACAAATGATCGTCTTGAAAATAGCCAATTTACAAGCGCTGGCAAAACAGCCAGCTACGTCCTCAATTGGCCAGAACTATACACCGGCAGATTGTAGAACACCTCTTCTAGCGCTGAGGACATGTCCCCCATCTTCCTTTTGGGGTTTTCTTGAAATAAACTTTTTTGACTTTTTCCACTCGACCATGCTGAAATACGGCCAAAGTCATACTTGCGCAGGAAAGCTCGCTACTCCGCGACGTCTCCTCAGCAATTTCTACTCCAACACTACTCCCAAGGCCGCAGAACAAAGTGTAGTGTTGACTCTGACAAGGAAAAGCAGCGGTGATCACTTGTCACTCCAAACGACAAGCTTCTCCTTGCGCCAGCAATATTTTTTTGTGCGACTGTTGATGCAAAAGTGGCTGAAGGCCTGAGCGCAGTTTTTGAATTCTATTGCAAGATGCACGGTGAGATCGCGTGCTCTGTGACGTAGGATGACGCTTCCTGCATCACGTTACGCGGCCATCGATCGCGAATGTGCCTGGAACGCTACTCGGAACAGACCATGATGGCAGAGGTAAGATGAGCTTCATTTCCTGCTTGAACTGCTGAGAACCCCCACAAACTGTCCTAGGAGTGTTGCAATGGCAGCAAGCCGTTGGAATATGCCCCGTACAGCATGGAGAGTTATTCGTCTTTCACACTTACCTCCTGCAATCCCGAACATAGTCCAACAGTAAAAGTCCCTTGTTTTCATGTCGATGCTCGACGAAAGCGACTAGCTCGGTCCCTTTGTGTTGACTGGCACGCGAGAAGCATGCACTGGCTGCACGCACTTGTCGCGTGAACTGCATGAGAGATTTCTTACATCATAAAGAATGTGATTTCATCATCATTTCACTGGTCTTCGACCTACATGGTCAGGGAAAGTCCCGGTTCGTAGGCCTACAACACGGTCAGCGTGTTCTTGAGCGCCGTAACAACACAAGTGTGATCACTTCCAGACCAACGGGCGTTCAAGGTGAGTAACAAGCGCACTTGACAAAGGTGACTCTGAAATCTCGTGAGCCGTGGGCCACGCGACTTGGCATTCTTGCGTCACAAGGCACGTGATTTCACCGTGCATCCTGCAATAAAATTCAAAAACTGCGCTCAGGCCTTCAGTCACTTTTTCAGCAACAGTCGCACAAAAAATTATTGGTGGCGCAAGGAGAAGCTTGTCGTTTGGAGTGACAAGTGATCACCGCTGCTTTTCCTTGTCAGAGTCAACACTACATGTTGTTCTGCGGCCTTGGGAGTAGTGTTGGAGTAGAAATTGCTGAGGAGACGTCGCGGAGTGGCGAGCTTTCCTGCGCAGGTATGACTTTGGCCGTATTTCAGCATGGTCGAGTGGAAAAATTCAAAAAAGTTTATTTCAAGAAAACCCCAAAAGGAAGATGGGGGACATGTCCTCAGCGCTAGAAGAGGTGTTCTACTATCTGCCGGTGTATAGTTCTGGCCAATTGAGAACGTAGCTGGCTGTTTTGCCAGCGCTTGTAAATTGGCTATTTTCAAGACGATCATTTGTGGCGTCAGGGGGTGATGGACCTCGTCTTCTGGGATGCTGGCGTGGCTAAGCGGTACTGCTCCAGGAACTCTTCTAAGGTGAGGCAATGTTGGCTTGATGGAGTTTTGTTCATAGCTTGTTCGTATACGCTGTGGCGTGACTCGTTTCTAGACCCATAAATAATGTGATATTTCGGCCATTTTTGAGGGGTATGCAAATTTCAAGGTTCCCTTCAGAAACTTTTTCAAGGGCTTTGCATAATCGATCCACACCCCAAAGGGAACCTACCTGCAAATTTTGAGCGAAATCGGAGAGATCCACTTGCACACATACTTTGGTATTCTCAGACATGCTCTCTTAATGTTGTACCTGCCACCTTTGTTGGTTCCAGGGTTCATATACTTTCTATTTGAAGTATACATACCTGGTAACCATGGACTGCTTCTGGCTAGATTAGCTCTTGTGTAATCATGGTGCTAGTGAAGCTTATATCAGATCCACTCTGATTTAATCAACCACGCTAGTAGCAAGTATTACCTTCACTGGGGACAGTGGTGACTGCAGTTGGATCCCGGGATGGATACCCTGATGCCGTCAATCCTTTTTCTACACCTTGTCCTCACCCACTTGCTAGGTGTGGTGTCATTTTCAAGTCCACCCAGAGTTTTGGGGATTTCAGGGGTGTCGGCCGTTGGGCGGTTCAATAACCAATTGAGTTATCTTTCCAAGATTCCCTTTGAGTCTCTCTCCCCTCTCCCAGGGAGACCCATGTGACCAGTTTTGGCAGTGAGCAACAAGTACAAGTACAAGTGTGTGTGTGTGTGTGTGTGTGTGTGTGTGTGTGTGTGCATGTGTGTGTGTGCATGTGTGTGTGCATGTGTGGGTGTGGGTGTGCATGTGTGCGTGTGTGTGTATGCGTGTGTGTGTATGTGTGCATGTGTGTGTGTGTGTGTGTGTGTGTGTGTGTGTGTGTGTGTTCATGTGTGTGTGTGTGCGTGTGTGCGTGTGTGCATTCATGTGCACATACAGATCATCTGCGTGCAATTCTCGGCCAGGAGAACCACGTTATGATGGACATCGGTGATCTCGTTACGCTTCTGAAGGAGCGGGTAATGCGTCAGTTAGGCATTGTGCCAAGTATGACTGACTCTGTGGTTAACCCAGGGCAACTTGTCCAGGTTCTGATCAAAATGAGTCATGTCTTGGATCGGCAAGCTAAACACCTCGCTGATCGCAGAAACCTGCTGGCACTCCAGCAAGCGGTAAGTCTTTGACGCACCTGTATGTGCCCCCACCCCACACACATGTGCACGCACGAACACACGAACACACGCACACACGCACACACACACACACACACACACACACACACACACACACACATGCACACATGCACACATGCACACATGCACACACACACACACACACACACACACACACATGCACACACACACACGCCTGTCCTGTCCTGTCGAGCCACTGCCACAAGGGTCACGTGGGCCTCAGAGTGGCAACGGAGAGAGAAGTGGAGAATGCCGTCCCACGACATACGGGACACAAACAACGAGAGGTCGCCAGGATTCAGGTCACCTACGACTGTTACCACGAGACTGGCGTATGACCGGGGGAGAACCTGAGCTGCGGTGTCTATTCCTGCCCTGGACCGAACGGAAGCAGAGGCCTCAGGACGCACAGTGGGCGCCACAACACGGTTCCACTGCGGCTGGGGACTGAGCCACACTTTTGTGACGGGCAAGGCCACCACGGCTCAAGAACCAACGGCCGCAGCGATCACACGAACATGCTCCGCGCTGTTCATTCATTGGTTTTGCACGCTCTACAGTACACTTGTTCCTGGCACGATCCTGGGGGCGCGAGAAATACCTCTTGCACACAGAGCAGTTGTGTGCAGCAGCCGCATCCCTAAGGCCGCTGTGCGAAGAAGATGCATCAGCGTCTGTGGAGGTGTACACTGACTGCCACTCGGCGCGAGACTCCCGTGCAGTTGCATACCAGCTATCATATACATCACGGGACTTGAGGTCGGACACTGCACAGTCCTTCCAGCGGCGCCGAGGACCATGGGCCGGGCGACAAGCAAGTATTGTCCCGAATAGGACCTGCCGCGGCATCCTCTCCGACTCCATGCGGACCACATCGCCCAACCACTCCAGCCGGCGGTTCGCAACCTTGATATTGAGAGGCTCGGGATCACCCCACAGTTCCAACAGTTGTACGTTGGAAATGTGATCCCTCCAGCACTGTGAACGGGATACGCCAAGAATCGACCTCACACATCTCGTGTGAAACACGGACAGGCGCTGCAAATCACGTTGGAGAGGTGTCCAACACTCGGAGCCGAAAAGCAATAGCGACATCACGCAAGCGTTGAACACGCATCTCTTGATGTGGGTATCCAGGTGCCGGTTGTTAAAAACGGAACTCCTCAATGCACGACAAACCCGTAAAGTGCTGTCTATACGAGCATCTACGCAAGACGATCACCCGCCACACTGTATGATGGAGCCTAGGTACTTAAAGTTGGGGACACACTCTATATCAACACCCGCGAGCTCCAAAGGCGCACAATCATCTGCAGAGGCGTGGGAACCTGAGACGCTCCCTTCCTCCTTTATTCCCAATCGAACTCGCCACTTCCACCGAAACTGAGTGACTGCGCCCTTCTAGATGGGGATTTGTATGCAAAATGTCACTAAACGCGCCGTTTCCGTCTCATAAAAGCATGGATGACCGCGGTTGGTTCATATGTCTTTTGGACGCTGCGTCGACTGGTTTGGTCCGAAAAGGCTACGATGCAGCGTTCGGCCCTTATTCCCATTTGAACACGGGCGAGTAAGCGGTCACGTGCTCATGCGTACACCAGTCGCCTGGTTAAATCGTGAGGTTCACAACAGAACAGGAAGTCACGCCCGACGACATTGACTAGCGGTGCCGACTGTCTCCTCGTATATGTACGCTGTTCCCACTGTATTGTTTGCTTTACGCTTGAGCCATGTGACGTGATTGACAGATAGTCTTGTAGGCAAGCAGCAAGTATGCATGTGTGACCCATAGGCTTCCATGGCGATAACCTGTCTAATGTTTGTGCTTTATGTTTGTTACGGAAGTACACGTTGGCTTTCACGGTGCTTGTTCAACCTGCATATGTTTGATACATGTGATATGCCGTGTGGTGTGTGTGTGTGTGCACGTGTGTGTGTGCCAGCTAGTTCGGTTGGTGGGTACACTTATGCCGGATAGTGTTGGGTCTGTTGCCAACGGGCTCGGCTGCTTGAAGGTGTAATGTTGTACCTACCACCTTTGTTGGTTTCAGGGTTCATATACTTTCTATTTGAAGTATACATACCTGTTAATCATGGACTACTTCTGGCTAGATTAACTCTTGTGTAATCATGGTGCTAGTGAAGCTTGTATCAGATCCACTCTGATTTAGCCACCCACACTAGTAGCAAGTATTACCTTCACTGGGGGCAGGGGTACCTGCAGTTGGATCCCAGGACGGATACCCTGATGCCGTCAATCCTTTTTCTGCACCTTGTCCTCACCCACTTACTGAGGTGTGGTGAGCCCATAAGTGGGATCATTTTCAAGTCCACCCAGAGTTTTGGGGATTTCAGGGGGTGTCGGCCGTTGGGCGGTTCAATAGCCAATTGAGTCATCTTTCCAAGATTCCTTTTGAGTCTCTCTCCCCTCTCCCGGGGAGACCCACGTGACCAGTTTTGGCAGTGAGCAACAAGTACAAGTACAAGTGTGTATATGTGTGTGTGTGTATGTGTTTATTTACATCTGTAGGATCATGACCAGTTGTGTGATCTTGCGCACGAGCACAGGGCTGTGTTGGGCAAGTTAGATGAGCTTGCGCTTTCCAGCGATCCACTGCTAACCGATGGTCAGCAGCAGCAACAGCAGCAACCGCTTCCTGGTCACCAGCGGCAACAGCAGGCACCGGCAATTGCACCACAGCAGGATGATCTTCCACAGCACCCCAAGCAGCAGCAGCAGCAGCAGCAGCAAGATAGTTCCTCGCACGCACATGAACAAAACGAACAGCAGCAGCAGCGACAGCAGCAGCTACAGCAGCAGCAAGACGGTACACTGTCAGCACAACAGGCACAGCAAAGGAGACCTCAGACCCGGTCACAGACAGTGCAGCAGCAGCAGCAGCGACGTACCAGCAGTGATATGGCATCACACGCACAAACACAACCATTCCCAACACCATCATTATCGTCGCTATCGACAAGAGACCACCGCGACAGCTCCATACCTCCTGGATACTATGCCCAATACCATAATGCAACAGCAGCAGCACAAGGTCCAAGACACGCTGCTCCTCAGGCAATGACAATGCCGGGAATGCACGCATTGCCACATCGGAACGCGTCTGCTACTGCTGCTGCTTCTGGTGCCTACTCTCCTCTTACGCAGCGGCAGGCGAATCCTTATTTGGCAGCAGGCAATCTTGGCCGGGGCGGTGCACGACCCTCCTTGCTAGGTCCAGGTTATCAGCATGCAGTACCAGTAGCGGCTGCTGGTCAAGCATTACCTAGCTACGCACCGTCACGATATCATCTACCCGGTCTACCTAGGCCAGTGAGTATGCTGCCTCCTCCTGGTGCACAGCATCCTGCCACTGCCACCACCGGCGCTCGACCTAGACTCTCTCGTAAGAATGCTGTAGACCAGTGTGTGTGTGTGTGTGTGTGTGTGTGTGTGTGTGTGTGTGTGTGTGTGTATGTGTGTGTGTGTGTCCATGTGTGCATGTGTGCATGTGTGTATGTATGCGTGTGTATGTGTGTGTTTGTGCGTGTGCATGCATGCATGCATGAACGGGTGTGTGTGTGTGTGTCTGTGCGTGCGGGTACTTGTCTGTTCACATGCGTTCTTTGTCTGTTCTCTTGTCTGTTCAGATCCGTGAGATATGAATACAAGTTCATCATTGGGCGGCGGTTCACACCATTAGCCTCAGGCCGATCACATTCAAGAAGGTAGTATCACACGAAGACAGTGCTACACGTACGCGCCCTTCTTCTCCTGTCAACTCTTCAGTTTGTTTTGATCAATCAGTTCTTGATGTCCGAACGCTTTGAACTGCGCGAAAATCCGCCAAGTTTCAACTCTGAGCCGCCATCATAGGGCCTGAAAGATTTCACGTAATATAATTCTGCTATACAGTGATGCTATTCATCTGTACCTGCTGTACCTGCTGTTAGATCATGGCTCTGCTGTTCAATCATGGCTTCTTTTTTCTCTCCCTCTCTGTGCTTTTAAAATTTATTATGTATGTGTACGTATTAATGAGCTGTTGTAGTAATAGTATTTCTCTTAGTCCTAGTACTAGCAGGGTAGTACTAGCGGGGTAGTACTAGCGGGGTAGTACTAGCGGGGATGAGTGGGCCGTGCAGGCACAGTGATGAACCACGCTAACAGTTCATGTCCAAAATGATAAATGACAACAACTACAACAACATAATTATTATGTCAAATGTTTTCTATGGATTTTTTTGTTGATTGTTTTAAAGAGTGCTGTGATTTCTACATACTTGTTTTACTTGTTGACATGACGTGTACGCAGGCCAGTAAAGCCTGTAATGCAAATGTACATGCTATCTTCGCCGTGCACACAGCTGTTCCCCGCGTTGATTTGCTACATTCACCCCCACCGCCGCGCACACACGCCTACTACTGATCCTGAGCTGCTGTCCTGCTGCGAGCATGTGATGTGCGTTTTAGTTTTTCAGCGCGACTCGATTTTCTCGACGGCAAGGAACGCACGCCTCTCCCTTGCCTGCCTGCACACACACACACACACACACACGCACACACACACACACACACACACACACACACACACACACACACACACACACACACACACACACACACACACACACACACACACACACCTATTTACAATGGTAGAAGACTTTTTTCTTTTTTCTTGTTTTGCCATCACTTCTAGCGAGCGAGTACTAGTAGTACTCGTACCGGATGCAGGATTTCCTTGTCACATTTTAAAATTGTTTTTTGTTTGAAGAAAAAATAGAAGATTCCGGCTCAACCTCTAACGAGTATACCGGTAGTAACGTTCTCCACTATAAAGATAAATACCCCGTACCCGCTCTTGTTGTAGTCGGGGGGGGGGGGGGGGGGGGGGAGGCTTATGTTTCGGTAAGAAGTCCCAGAAAACGAAAGGAAGCTTGCTTGAATGCGGACAGTCAAGGTCGACTCTCTCCACGGTCACTCATTACGCAGTTGTTATGCAAAGCGAACAACTAAATATCATTCCCTAAGTACATGTAGTATTCCCCAGTCCTGGAAAGATATCTACCGAACTAGCCCTAGCTTGACGATCACTTCAGCGCTAGGCGTCTGTGCAGCTAACAAAGGCTCTGTTACGAATCATCACACCCTTCGATTGCAAGATCCTGTCCCCGGGGAAAATTGCGGAAAAAAATCGCAAAAAACGCGGGGAAAAACGCGGCATAATATGGCATAATTTGCGGTAAATTTGCGGTAAATATGCGGTGAATAATATTGATGTGCGGCAATTTTCAGTGAGTATGTAGTGAAATCAATCAGTTACAAGTCTCTGGTGTAAGCACTCGTCATATTTGAGGAAAAAGCCGCCACGATGAGACGTTGCTGACCGAACAGTGCACTGTGTGTACGTGTAGAGCAACAAAAAAGTTCAAAAAACGCGGGAAAATCGCGGAAAATGCGGTCTTTTAAAAAATCGCGGAAAACGCGGAAAAAAACGCGGCCACGGAATCGCAATTTTCCCCGGGGACAGAAGATCAGCACAATGAATATGAAGTATGATTGTCATGATACTGTAACCATGGTAACCAGGTAACTGGAAAGTAAAGGACTTAGGTGCAAATCAGCGCTGTTCCTGGGTAGATCTACCCGGCCGGGGATTACCGAGTGTTGATTTCCCATGCCGAATGATTACGATATGTGGCAGTAAAAATATTATTATCGTCACGACCGGCATGACTTATTATTGAAAAGCTTCCGCTGCATTTCTAGTTCCACTCATGTAACGTTTTTGTTGGAACGAAGACTACTGAGTCTGTTGATGCTGCTAGTACTTGTAGATCTACCCTTTTTCTAGTTTTGCAGCCTTTCCGCTAGTGCTGTTCGAGCAGATGACAAGCTACGTCAGTCTTGCACTGGCCCAGGCCAGGCGGCAGCGTCGTTGACAGTAGGCTGACGGTGATGACTTGTTTTGGTTCTGGTCAGGATTCGCCGGCTCTGGAATTAGGTTTTGCTCGCCGGCTCGGTCTTGCAACGACACCAGTATCAGTATTCTGTCGAAAATGTAATAAAAAATTCTGGAGACCGAGTTTACTGGTATACTACGAGTAACAGTTACTTGATTTGATTGCCGCCATCACTACTACAGTACTATACTACATGTAGCTTGGCAGCGGTACACCAGGTACACTGGACTCCGCTAAGCCATTCTAATTTCTATTCGCGAGCTAGCTGAGTGTGTTTCTGCGCTACCCCCTGCTAACCGCTAAGAGTCTTGAGCTCTGGACTGGACAGACGACTCAGATAGCGGTCGTTACTGGAGTGCAGTGCGCATCTATCGCTGAGTGACTGGCGGCATTAGGGAGTTGCGGGTCCATGTGTGACCATGGAGGACTAGTCTATGGTATGGATGAGCGTCCCGTCCGCCTGCTAAGTGCGCCGCATGCAGCGAGCCATGCGGAGATACAAAGGAGATTGTGGTGGTCGTGGATGATGACCTTATTGCCGAGTTGATTGCCCACAAGGTGATTTCCGCCCGCGCGACCGATATACATGTAGTCTGAAGTTGAATGGATGATGACCTAGTACCTGGAAGGGGATAAGGTACGGGGTACTACTAGTCATGTCTATGTCACAGTATGTGTTTGAATTCTTATTCTCACGATGGCGGCACCATCGCCAATAGGCAATAAGAGATTGTGTGTACATGACATCATTGTATTGCACTGTTACAGTACATTTGCACAATCATACAGTTCACTATACAGGGCTGTCAGTAGCGCTGGGATTTCAGGTGCCGTCAGGCGAAGCGGAGTACTTGACAGGAAATGAACGTTTAATATTAAAAAAACACCCTTTTGCATGAATTTGGGTGGGTCAACTTTTTTCTAAATAAGGTCCGGCCATGGGAGGACCTGCCGCACCAGGTGCTACGGCCCTGACCTAACAGTATTACGTGTAGGCCGGCCAGGGAGTCGTAGCATGTACAAGTACATGTACATACACAGACGGCAGGGGCGAGTGAAACGTGAAACAATGGGTATCCCGACATATCACCGAACGACAGTTCACCAAGCGACAGTTCACCGACCGACAGCTCACCGAACGACAGCTCACCGAATACCCAGTTCACAGAATGCCCATTTCACCGAATGCACAACTCACAGAATGACAGTTCACCGAGCGGCCAATTCGCCGAACAGACATTTCACCGAAAGAAAGAAAAAACAAAGAAGGACGGAGAGAATTTTGGATTTTTAAATATATTTCAAGGATTCCCCAGAGGCCACTAAGCCTATCGAGGAGGTCTCCATTTGTCTACAGAGGTGAGCAGATCAAAGAAGAACAATAGACAAGCAGCGAAAATGTTGCAATCACTCCACAACGTTGAAGAATTTTGAATTTTTGACGATAGAAGGCTGGTTGATATACAGTCAGACCTCGCTACCACAGAGCTTTTATCGGATTTCATTGACCATGTAATGTTTACACGTTTGTGTAATGTTTACTAGGGTTGAAACGATTATACCAAAAAGCGATGGATCTAGCTAATCATTACGGTTTTGATTGTCTCATATTTTTCACCCAAAAACGTACTAAAATGAACCCTTACTGTTGATGTTTCAACCAGCTAACACAGTGTTTTACTCTTACCAGTGGTGATGATTGGAATAAGGGATTGATTCAGTAAAAACTCGCTGCTTTTCAGAGCTATTCTTCCATATTTGTAATTTTTGTGCTTGCCAGTTCGGTCATTTTGGTCACAACTTAACCGTGGAAATGTAGTAATTTTTGCACGCAAACCCGACACATGCACTCAGTGGTTATGCGACGTCTGACTGTACAGTGTACATTTGCCACATAACGTGCAACCAGCGCCAGTAGTGGCAGTACGTCAGTGCCAGCATTTCAGCCCTGCAAAACTCAGCGCCGGTGAAGTTAGCCTGACTACGAACCAGTCATTACAATTTACAGTAGAATTTCGGTGAGCTGTCTTGTCGGTGATATAGCCATTCGGTGAAATGTCTTTTTGTGAAGTGTCTTTCGGTGAATTGTCCAGTCGGTGGATTGTCCATTCGATGATTTGTCTTTCGGTGAAGTGTCTTTCGGTGAAGTGTCTTTCGGTGAATTGTCATTCGGTGAATGGTCGGTAAACCATGTGTGTATGTGGTGGGGGTGGGGGTGCTCCAGGGCTGCCCGTCACAGTTGCTATTGATTGCAGTTGGCACTCACCCACAGATCTCATCGCTGATCTGAGCTGCATGTATGGTCAGCTGGCGAAGGTCCTTCCTTCTGCGGCCCTCCGTAGCTCCCACCTACGTCTGCGCCTCTCTGACTCTCTGTCTCTTGGATATCTCTTTTTCCTTCTGCGGCCTCTCTATGGCTTCGAGTACTATTTTTCTGTCTGGCTCTCTGTGGAAGTAACATTGTATGTGAGTATATGTGGTTCTTTAGTTCTTTGAGCTGATCTCTGGGGCTTTCTGTTGCTCTCTCTTGGTCTTTTCCCCTCCTGCTCCACTCGATATGGCCCCCTGTGGCTCGCTGCCGCTTTGTTTGGCTTTCTCCAGCTCTTTCTCTCTGTCTGGCTCTCTCCCACTGTCCCCTCCCTCCCTTCCTCCCCCCCCCCTCTCTCTCTCTCTCTCTCTCTCTCTCTCTCTCTCTCTCTCTCTCTCTCTCTCTCTCTATCTCTCTCTCTCTCTCTCTCTCTCTCTCTCTCTCTCTCTCTCTCTCTCTCTCTCTCTCTCTCTCTCTCTCCTTCTGTCCTCTGGTCTCCTTTCCACCCGCTCGACTATGCTCTCTCTCTTTCTCTCCTTCGCTCTCCAAACCTGGACTAGAAGTTATCAATTGTGGAAAACTGATTTAGCCCATCGTATACGCCATAGTGTGATTTGGCTGACTTGGCACAGGTGACGTGTATCGGTACTCAAATCTCAGGATCCAAAATCTATTTATTTTTTCATCCTTTTTGAACTTTCATTCCTGACCATTACCTTGGAAACCTTACACACACCATCTTCAATCCGAGCGGTCTCTTCGCTGCAAATTACAATATCTCGACAACATTTTCGATTGAGATAATTATTTTACTTTGCAGCGAAGAGACCGCTTGGATTGAAGATGGTGTGTGTAAGGTTTCCCAGGTAATGAAGTGGCTGCAGTGGAGCTTGCACACATTAAGAAATTCCTGACCATACCTCTTCAAATGGGCTCTGGACTACACTAATCACTGAAAGAAAAAAGATAAAATCATCCAAAGGAGCATGATTGAGAAATGTATTCATTCCTGACCGTTCTAGATATACAAGATTTTTCGGCTAGTGTATGTTCATTAGGTGGTTCTTGACCAGGGAGTTGTACGACTCCTTGTTCTTGACCTGCCCGGTACGCGAACCCGTCGAATTTTTTTATTTTATTTATGTTCACATAATCAACACACAACAGTTTCCTTTTCAATCATTCAAGACTTGCAAAAGCCAATGGGCTTTGAACAAATTTCTCCACCTCGCTCTCGGTCATTCCGAAGGCTTCTATTTTTACCGTCGGTCACAGAATATTTTTCTATCACTCCCTCTGTATCTTGTACTTTGTTCCCTGCAGTGCCGGCTCAGTCGATCAGTCTCTCAGGGAGAAAGGACTTGAGGAGTGAAACATTGCAGATGAGCCAGCGACTACATCCCTCTAAAGGCAGGCCACTGTATGTATGTCAGCCACCCGTTTAGCAGCAAGTTGGCGTTGTAGCCGCAATGTCGCCTGTGTTTGCTCAGAAACACACATAGCGACAATCCACAGGCACATGGCGGGGACCGCTGGGGATTGCGTGGCTCATTGACTGCTCTCTCCTTCTATGTCCTGACTGCTCTCCTTCCTGCTCTCTCCTTCTATGTCCTGACTGCTCTCCTTCCCTGCTCTCTCCTTCTATGCCCTGAGAGGTTTGTCTTGCCCTGAATCAGACCCTGAATCCGTGGGAAGTGGGTCTGGAATTCTATATCGCGGCATACAAACATTTAAAATGAGTGGACTGTGCATATCTTGTATTACTTTGTGCCCATGATTTGACCAAAGACAAGCAACTATATGCTCTCCATGGTGTCTATGATTGCATTGCTGCCAGTCTTGCCCTATACTTGTGTGATCACTTTTTTCGAGCATTTTTTTGTATGAATTCCTCCTCTCCACTAGCTGTTTCACTGCTTTGTGAGCTGCTGTTGGTAGTACCGTACTGGCTTTGCCTATTTCTTTCTATGGCCACAGTCAAGTTTTCCTGCCTTCAGCCACAGACCTTTTGATGCTTCCCACTTAGCCATTTTATTGTCAGCCACAGACCTTTTGATGCTTCCCACTTAGCCATTTTATTGTTATCATTTTTTTGTGTTCGTTTCTTGCTTTCTTGCTTTCCTGCTTTCCTCCTCTCCCTTTCCCTGTGCTTTGTGAGTGTGCATGACGTTTGGCTGGGGTGGTGGGGGCCCAGGTGGGACAATGTACTTTGAACATCGTTTCTTGCTTTCTTGCTTTCCTGCTTTCCTCCTCTCCCTTTCCCTGTGCTTTGTGAGTGTGCATGACGTTTGGCTGGGGTGGTGGGGCCCAGGTGGGACAATGTACTTTGAAGTACATCTATAGTGGATGCTCAAAATCACGACAATCAACTGGTGTTGGAAGCAACATTTACTGTGAAGCTGTCAACATCTTAGTTGTTCCGTAGGAAAGTGATTGCTAAACTATCATCAGACGGATCAGACTGCGAGGTGTGAGAGCTAGCGCCTGCCGTTAATGACAGGCCAGCAGGCACTAGCTCAACTCTGATTGGCTGAGGGTAGTTGACCAATCATTTCAGGTGTGAAGTTCAGAGGCAGGATAGGCTATAAAAGTAATTTTTCTGGTAGGGGATGGTGGTCGGGGTTCGGGATGGCTAATACTGTAGAATTTTCTTCGCATGAATTTTCTTCGCCGGCTTGCTTCTTGCTGGCTTGCTGATGGCTGCTGTTCACCAACCTGCAGAAACACAAACAGGCAAAACAGAGACGATCAGCATACATGCAATTATGGATGCTTGCAACACCCTGGGTCTCAGTCTGGAGGAAACTTAGCTAAGTTAGAGAGAGAACGGGAGAGAGAGAGAGAGAGAGAGAGAGAGAGAGAGAGAGAGAAACAGGGAAAGAGAACGGGAGAGAGAGAGAGAGAGAGAGAAACAGGGAAAGAGAAAAGGAAGAAAGAGTGAATCACCAAAGCCAACAACAATGGCCGTCAGGCTTCCACTTGGTTTGAGATATCAGGTGAACAGAGGTATACAAACTATGGTCACGCACTTAACGATCTCAGAGATTCTCCCATGATGATCTACAAATAGAGATGTTACCTTCTGGCTATGCCGCCATACAGCTAGCCTTCTTCCAATGAAGATATCCCAGCATCACTGGTCCGGCTCTTCTGGTTGCCACTTTTTCCTGCCAAGCAAACCACGTCATACGCGAACACTCTCTCACACACACATACATGTACACACACACATACATGTACACACACACGCACACACACACACACACATACGCGTAACTTTCAGTAGGTAGTCCGGAAGACTCTTCACATTCCAGATACCATAAACATTTAGATGCTGAGCCAATTTGGCCTTTATTTGCATGTGAACAGTATGCAGTCTAAGTCTAAGTCTAAGTTTTCCGAAAACACAAACCTTTCCCACACAGTGTGTAACTTTGGGACCCTGGATGGAGTTCTCCATTTCAAGTATTCCTCACTACTTCCAAACCAACTATAGGCCACAAGTGATGGTTCCCATTATGGTCACCATGTCTGATATGCAAGCAAGAGGTTCCAACTGTGATGTGAACGTGAGGGAGGGTTTCGCTTCTGCAACGGTTTGCAAAATCCTCACGTCGTCGTCCCGGATCTAGTTCCCTGTGGTTACCATTATGTCGGTTGCCCATTTATTCTGTGTGTCCAGCCTACCTTCTGAAAGCATCATATCTTTTGCACCCCCTAGCTCCTGAGTGCGCATAACAGCACAGCTATTATTTCAAGAAACATTTCCGGAACACTGGTTTCGACATGAACGTCCTGTGTGTTCACTTACTAGTACTGTCAAACATGTCATTTTAGGTGCATCAGAATTTCGGTGCCAGGGACCTGCCAGGTTTCAGGTGTAATTTCGAATTAGGTGACCAGCATTCCCTTCACATACAGTGCATACTCTAGTGCCTTTTGGGTGCAATTTAAATTTAGGTGCCTGGTTTCTCTACCGAAATCGCCGAAATTAAAGTTACACCGAAAATTACGTGTTTAACAGTATTCGTAATTTGGAGGTATGCTGACAATTGTTTGTGTACTTCAGGTCCGCCGGACCGGCACACCAAGTCTAGAAAAGATGGACCATGTTTCAGACTTGCTGATCCCCTCAGTTCATGTGAAAGTCAGGGTATCTTCCTGCTCCACACACCCACCTACCCAGCTCAGTGCAACTAGCGACATACCCACCAACCCAGCTTCAGCTAGCATGCATTTACACAGAGATGATCAGTGGAAATGCATCACTGCATGTCCTATACAAGACCAGCATGCATATCCT